TTGCATAATGAAGGTTCGAACAATAAAGGCCTACTTCTAGTGCGTCCACTGTTGCACTTTTCTAAAGAAGATATGTACAAGGTTAGTGCATATCGAGATGCACTTTTACAGAAAGAGAGATTTTCATTTCTTGAAGACAATGATTTTTGCATATCAAAGCAATCAATTGATATTACATGTGGAAATGCCCTGTATCTGAAGTATATTCCTTTCTTCTCCAGATATGCCAAGCAAGTAATCAAGACTGGGTGGAGGACCCAACAAATCGAAGTCCAGCTTATGCTCGGAACAGGATCAGAATGTCACTGGGAAATTTGTCATCATGTGAGCCCTTTGGCGATTAATTTTATTGCACATAAGATATTTTTTAACTTAAAAAGAATTTAAGCTTTACGATTTAAATGCTATTGGTTGGAATTCTGATTTGTGTCGTCTAATGTTCCAGATACTTTCCAGTCTGAAATTCAAGAGCTAATATCTTCATGTCGAAAAACACGTGCATATGTTGACCACATGTCAAATGAATTGATTGATCAGGCTGTGAACATCATGGATGTAAGCATAGATTTTACTGTTGAATTATGAAAGTTTTATTTAGATACTATCCTTGTCATGTTACTGAAAGTTTATATCTTGCTTGTTATTCTTTTGAACGGCATCGGGGTCCTCGATGTTTTCCCAGCAGCAAGGTTATGCTGTTATTGATTTGATGGTTCTTAGTCCATCCAAAGTTCCAGATATGTGCCTTTCAAAGTTTATTGCGTTGGTCTTGCAGGTAATTGTCATTTATATTATCTTCTTGGATACGGTTTTACCTTTTGGTCTAGAATTGGCTAGTTATGTTCCTAACAGGCTAATAGTAATTTGTCATCTGAATGCCTCAGTTTGTCTCTCAAAAGCACAGAACTGTTAGAGGCGCCACTAGTAAACGGTTATTGGATTACGTTCGCACTTTCCCATGTAAGGCAAGTTTACTAGTCTTAAAATTTTGATGCAGTTATATTTTGGTTATTCTTGGTCAGAGACTCAGAGTTAAGCTTTTCCTCGTCTTTCTGATGCACTTTGAGTACCTTGCAGACGTCTTTTACTGTAGCTGGATGTTATCTCTGCCCTTCTCCTGGTTCTAGGGGGACGAAACTCTTAGTTTGCTGCTCTGTCAATTGCCATCTGCCTTCAACAATTGAAGTGAATAACTCAGACTTTGATAGAGAACAGAAGCAGTATCCTAGCATGTTGGATGAAATCATAGCCGAAGGGAAGTCTTATGTAGATCAGTTTGTACCAGATGTAGTAGATGTGAAGTTCTTGGACATGACATGCCAATCAGTGTTAGCAGAAGCGAAAAGAATCGGTATCATCAGCGAGTCAACTCATAACAACATAACCTTACTGGAGAGGAATGAAACAAAGTATTTCAAGCCTGAGAATAAGGTACACTTGGAGCAAGAGATCATAGAAAATCCCAGCACCTCAGCATCTGAAAGTGAGCTACTCCACCCAGGCAAAGCATGTTACTTCATGGACAGATTCATGGTTACTTGGAATGAAAGACCGCTCAGTTACTGCTCATCTTTGGTAATTGATCATCGAACAGCTGCTGAAGTACGCTATATGGCCGAGTCTGATTGGCTCTATCTGGCCAAATTGGCCAGGTGTAAAAATTTGCATGATTTGGTGCCACAAATAACTGATGCAGACAGTGAAGTAGAGCAGATAGCAAGAAAGAGAAAACAGAGTTTAGAATACATGCAGTTATCGGCAATAAAATCTCTTCAATCTTTGAAGTCCATCCCAGTTGCTGCCAGAAGAAGCCTGCCTGTATTAGTAAACCATGAAGGAATCCTACTGACTATACCTGTATGTTTTCATCTCTGAAATTCTGATACTCCATTTATAAGTTTTGCTGTCAAATTGTTCACGGTTATATATATCATTAAACCTTGTAATCCTTATCTCATTCGTGGTCTTTTTTCTCTCTCTTTTTGCAGAGCATTGGATTCCAGTGCTGCCCTTGTTTGATTGTGTCCTGCGCATTCAGGCCAAGATTGCCACTAGGGGGAGGTCACTCTTCGTTTCTGTAGTTTATGTGCATTAGCAAAGAGCATATGTATAATAGAGGCCTTCAATTTTGGTGTTTGTTGTTACTCATTTGTACATCTTTAGACTAGAAAGAATTAATAGAAAGGTGGAAGCACAAATCCAACCATGAACAAACTGTATTCCACATTATGCAGTAAGAAACATCAATAGTTTAATCTGTCAACTCACAGGATTCATTCAGATTCTTGCATTAAAGCTCGGGAATGAATTATTATGGTTGATACAAATTCATACAGCAGCAGCAGCTAATTCAATTCCCAAATCCAATCTTAAAAAAAACCTATCCTGCTAACTCTTCTCATGTTACAGTGAAGAGAGAGATTCAAAGAGGAAAATAGTAAAAAATGATAATAAGGGAGGAGAACATAGTCATCATTATCATAATCCACCTTGCCCTCCTCTCTCTTTCAAAATCTGGAACGATTTGAACCACTGTTTCCATGGAGCATCTTTTTGTTGGTCGACCCATGACAAGAAAGCACTGTCTATCAAGCAAAAGAAATTGACATAGAGAAGTTGGTACTGTACTGGTACATATCTGAAGTTAGCCACCTGAACCAGTGGCCAAATACCGCCTTCCAAGACTAACGACGGAAGGAAGTCCCTCTTCACGTCTTCTTTCACTTGAGCAGCACTCTTCCCTGTAGAAAATCCAATGTAGGTGAAGAACACTAGCAGATCCAAGGGCCCAAAGATTATGCCGTCAGCTGCCACTTTAGCCGCCACAAACCGAGCTGATTTTGGTGCTAGTTTAAGTCTCAACCTGATAAACTTGTCCAAGTACTCATACCTAAATAAGAAATAGGACTCGATTTAAGTTAAGAACTGATTGAAGAATATGACTTGCTAAAGCTAAATGATTGACAAAAAGACGAAGAGGCAAACCAGAAGTGGCCAACTGGACCAACAAATCCGAGGCCAAATGCACTGGTAGTAGCTACACGCTTCCAATTTATTCTGAATTCAGCCTCTTTATCCTGCCACATGAAATACAGTTACTCATCTTCCTGGAGTTTAGAAACTACCTTCAGTAATCATTGCAGATAACAGCTTCAGCTTAACAAAATGGCTACTGAATTCCCAGAGGACCACATGGTATTTAATGATTCTCAGCCACAACATGAAGATGCTATAACAGTAACACAGAGTAGGCAAAACTGTTGGTGATTCAAGTTCTTAAGGTGATGAAACTCTGGCAGCAATATGCAGTCTCGTGATTAGATTAAACCACGTACAAAAAGCTCCTCATGGTGTTAATGGAGCAGACACAACTGAGTTAGGTCAAAAGAAGGTACACATACAAATTGATTTTGTTCCTTTTCCCCACCTAAATAATGTCTCAAGTCACGTTTCGTCTCAGAACCAAAGCTGAAACTCTAAATTATTTACACATCATGATATCTGATTGTTGACCGAACAGCTAACTAGCGCGAAATGATATAACCATTGGCATAATGTTCAGGTGCAATATGCAGCTACCAGACCATGAACTTGCTGCAATCATGCCAAGGGCATTGCCGAAACTACAACAAGTAAGCCGTGTTAGAAACAAGCCCGTGTTCTGATAAGCTTCAGTACTGTACCCAGAAAAAGATTTTCATCTAGGAAAAAGAAAAACAGTAAAAGATTCAAAGTAGACCTTTCCAGCTTTCCAATAGTAAAGGCTACCAAAAACTTCAACGCCGAGAACAGTGAGACACGTCCATTCAACAGAACCAAAAGCATTCAAACACATTAAAGTCGTCAATTGGTCAAAAACCCCAACCAGCGCGGCGGCGGCGGCGCCAGGATTGTCCCCGGCAACCACAACAAAGAACCATACGGAAAGGGCGAAACTTGTCGAAACCCAGTTCAAAGAACAAGCAATTGAATCGAAATCCGAAACAATCAATGATCCCCAACGAAGCTAATGATGAAATGCGAACAAGAAGAAGAGGAAGAAGAAAAGAGGGGTTTACTTACGGTACACTGAAGACGTTTAATAGCAGTGGAGTGAGTGACATATTGAGCACCGATATCGCCGGCGCCCCAAAGGAAACCGGAGCTGATGACCTGGGTCTTCAACGGATGAGAGGTTAGGCAGTTGCGATACCAGCCCCATAGCTTCAACAACATTTCTTTCGTATAGGTGAAGAAAGGGAACGGAGACTCGGAGAGAGGGAAGAAAAAGAAGAAAACTGTATACGAGGAAACAGTTCATATTTATACTGGGAGGAAAATTGTAAATAGTCATCAAACTTTGGTGTTTTTATCAAAACAGTCATTAAACTATTAAAATGTAACAGATGAGTCACCAACTTCTTCATTTTATAACAACATGCCTTCATTTGGTACCCAAATTGCGTAATTTATAATGACCTATCACTAACTCTAATCCGTTCTAGTTGGTTTAATCCAAAATTTCAACTTCAAAAGTCTGGACAAACCACAAAAGCAAAACTCAATGCATATCATCCTCTTTTACTTTCAATAAGGCGAGCTATTGTTGAACCAAAGGATCCAAGAACGAGAAAGCTAGTTGTATACTTATATGCCTTGATCTTAACTCATGAAAAGATTGTATGAGTCCTTAAATCCTCATTAATCGATCATCTTGTTTCGGTCCAAGAGAATTGATCGAGTTTTAGAGAGCATCTAATAAGAAATTCTAGCAATGGAAACTCCTCACCCATAAAAGTGTTTTATTTTCTCGAACTGGAGTTGGAAAATGAGTATTTGAAAACCTTAATCACCTAGGATTTCCACATTTGCATATCTCACTGAGAAAGATCTAGGATATTACTATTATCTCTTAAATTAACCACAGTGATAATTGGCTCAATCCATTGAAAATGGCTACCGTGGCACTCTCTGGTCCTCCAAAATCCAAATATTAGTTAGTATTTTATAGGTGGTAGCAGGCCAGGCATAACCCTTTTGGCCTTTGTTTGCATGGCCTCACAAAAAAATGGGCAAAAAAAAATACTATCCACAATCTATTTCTGATAAAATTAGTGGATAAGAATCCCTCTACGCTCGCTTCTTTCACTACAGAACAAAGCCCTTCTTATTTTTCTCCCCAATCAATTGTGTATTACTCCAGTTGTGCTGCTCCTACTTGTACAGGTCGTCTCATATCAGCCATGCAACTCCACCCCATTCTTCATTCTCCCACCTCCTAGCTTCTGCCCAATCCAACAGGTAACTGCCCATTTGAGCAAGTTTCTTGATTTCCTGTGTAGCAGTCTAAAGTAATGAACTTTGATATGCATCTTTGCGATCTGGCTTCAAAATCGGTTCCTTTTGGCAATTTTGCGTCTTGGGTTCTTGCCTGTTTCATGTTCTGCTTTGAATCGTTGAGAAAGGGTCAGTTGCCAGTTGGGTTCACTTGTTGAGGTTTCTGGTAACTGAGTAGCAATTGCTTATTTATCTTTTGAACCAGTTCTGCTTTGATTGGGACTAAGTTGTGAATAAGAGGTCTTTATCCTTCCTACTTTGCTATATTAAGTGGCTTCTTGAGGTGTGTATAGCTTAAACATGATAAAGAAGTTCTCTGTCTTTGGAATCACTTTCGAAAGGTTGTTTATTGATTTTGTAATGACTGTCTAGTGTGTTTCAGGAAGGAAGATGGCTAGATGCCAAGATGGAACAATCACAAGCAGCAAACTGGTTGAAGTTTCTCCCATTGTGGTAATACATGCATTCTTGTTAATTTTCCTTCTTAAGTTAAAACCATTCATGATTTGGATCTGTTGGTTGTTAAATTCTTCTGGAGCATAAGCAGTTGAATTCATTTCTGCGGCGACCAATCTAGAGTGGTTCTGCTTTAAGTTCTGGTGCATTGTTACTTTACTGTGAGCAACAAGAAGAAAGGCCTTGACCTTGCTTATTGTTATTGATGTCTTGTTTATCTTAGACATGAGATAGTGCCCTTTTCTTTCTCTTTTCAGTTGGGGTGACAGTCTGATGAAAAAGCTTGTGACTCATTATGAACTCACAGGACCGATTTCGCCCAATCTCCTCGAATTCACGAGTTCAATCATCCTGCCCATTCTGTACAGGCAAGAATGATAGTTGCCAGATAGTCCGGTCAAGAACAAAGTTAATGAATATTATGATCAAAAGAAGGAAGCCCAAAGAAGCGGAATCTATATTCGATGGTCTAATGGAAGATGGCCACAAGCCAAACCTTCTAACCTACACCACTCTAGTTGCTGCATTGACTCGTCAAAGGCGTTTCAAGTCCATCCTGTCTTTGATCTCCAAAGTTGAAGAAAATGGGATGAAACCTGATTCCATACTCTTCAATTCGATCATCAATGCATTTTCTGAATCTGGAAATGTAAAGGATGCAATGGGAATTTTCCAGAAGATGAAGAGCAGTGGATGTAAGCCTACCACCAGCACTGTCAATACTCTCATCAAAGCATATGGGAATGCTGGGCAACCCGAACAAGCTTCGGAATTGTTGGAGTCATTGTTGAAGGAAGAAGACGTGAAGCCAAATGAGAGGACATACAATATCCTAGTAAGAGCTTGGTGTAACAAGAGAAACATTGATGAAGCTTGGAACGTGGTAGACAAGATGGTGGCATTCGGATTGAAGCCAGACGCTGTCACATTTAACATACTAGCTAGGGCTTATGCTGAGATAAGCATGACGAGCAGAGCGGAAGACTTATTGTCTGAGATGCAGAGAAATGGATTGGCGCCAAATGAGCGTACTTGTGGCATCATTGTGAATGGATACTGCAACGAAGGAAATATGGTGGAAGCCTCAAGGTTTGTGTACAGAATGGAGAAGCTTGGAGTGCATCCCAATCTCATCGTTTTCAATTGTCTCATTAAAGGCTTTGTAGATAACCTGGACAAGGATGGAGTTGAGGAGGTCAGTTTCTATACCGAGAAATGTTATAATTGCTATAGCATTGTGTAAAAGAGCTCCAACCAGCTTCATTTCTTTGTTGGGTTAATGTCACTGAACTTAGGGTCACTGATATATCACTCTGACATTTTGTTAGTATTGAACTTGTCATTGAAGTAAGTGTGAATTCGTGAATAACTGGAAAAACACAACATAGGGGTAAGGAGAGAGATAATTAAGTTGATTTGAGGTAATCGGTTTTGGAACTGGATTGAATATGAATTGAAATGTATTATCATGTTAGCTAATGAGAGTTTCTGTAGACATTTTTTTGTAATTACTTATATGATTTGGCTTGCTTATCCGGAATTTTTTGTTAAAAACTTTTCATGGAAATGGATGAAGTGACTACTATAGTTATTTTAATTTTCAACGACAAAAATTACTATGTTACAGGCACTTGATGCTATGGAGGACTACGGAATCAAGCCTGACGTGGTGACATTTAGCACGATAATGGATGCATGGGGATCTGCAGGTATCATGGACCAGTGCCTAGAGATCTTCAATGATATGTTGAAAGCTGGTATAGAACCAGACATCCATGCATTCAGCATCCTCGCGAAAGGTTACGTGCGAGCTGGGGATCCAGAGAAGGCTCAGTCGGTTCTGGCATCCATGGGACACTACAGCGTGCGCCCGAACGTAGTAATATGCACAACCATCATTAGCGGCTGGTGCAGTGCTGGAGAAATGGACGCTGCAATGGAAGTCTACGAGAGGATGTGCGAGATAGGGATTTCGCCGAATTTGAAAACGTTCGAGACTCTGATATGGGGATATGGAGAAGCCAGACAGCCGTGGAAAGCACAGGAGTTGCTGCAAGTCATGGAGGAGAAAGGCGTATCTCCGGGGAAGAGCACTATGCAACTCGTTTCAGATGCCTGGCTAGCCGTTGGTTTAACAAGTGAAGGCAAGAGAATAGTGGCTGAAGGAGAAGGAGATGAAGCTGCAAATTCTAAGGTTGCTGTAGATACAAGAGAGGAGGAGATGCCGAAAGACCCAGATCTCTCGGCCTCTTATTCCAAGGTGTTGGAGGTGCCTGGAGATGTTCTGAAAGGTCCAAATGGATCATCATCTCCTGTTGTCAAGATGAGAAGCCAGATGATTCTGAAGGACCCCAGGTCTTCATCAGAGGCCTTATCGCCTAGTTTGAAATCGATGTTCTTTTTTCGCGCATCAGGTTTTGGAAGACAGCCGCGAGTTATTTGTAGAAGGCAGGAGCAAAGCCTTTCTTGCATTCGTGGGAAGTTCACGAGATCGTGTGGCATCTTGTCCATTGCATGAAGGCTGAACTCATGTTAGCTGCTTGTGCTGGCAAGGTGTAGAAGAACAGTGCCGGTTGAAATGAACTTTCAGAAGTGCTTCCTGAAGTTGTAGATATACATTTGTTCTTGTACTGAACCACAGTGCTTAGCTTCCTATGCCATTGACTACAAATGTAGTGTTTTTTATAGGTAACAATGCATTCGAATATTTCCTCCAATGGCCTTGAGGCTATATCTGGATGGGTAGACATGTTCATAAAAACTATAATGTACTTTTCATGTACTGATATAAATTCGTGTACTGATATGACCAAAAGTCACGTTCATGTATCGGAATGACCAAATCATGAAAATTCAAAGGTAAAATTGATCGATCAAAGAGTTCTTCCACCGCTTCGCTCCTTTCTCCTTCACCTCCTTCGAGAGGCAAAAGCCATCCATAAATTTGATTGGCGGCCGATACTATAACCTGTTCTCCGGTGCTACAGCAAACAACTGAGCCCAGGAGGAGCCGCCACCAGTCGGCGGGATCTCCAATGACAAGGCAGTCATCGCAACCCTAACCGAAACTAGAGAGAAAATAGAATACTATTGTTTATTTTTATTGAACTAAATTCTCATTATTTGGTTTGCAGGTAAATATTGTCCTTTTTACATCCAAAGCCTCACGTTGGCCATATCTTTTATTATTCAAATCACTTTTTTAGAAAGGTTAATACCTTATTTTGGTTCGAATTACACTCATTTAATAAACTTTGGCCAGTGATTTCAAAAATTCTCACTTTGATCTCAACTATAAATCATATAAACTCAACTGGTTCACACAATCTGAACCACAAACCGTGTATATGATCTAATCTGGACCACACGGCACCGTTTCCTCTATAATATTCATTGTCAACCAATTGGGCCATTATAAGCTATGAATGGGCCAACGAGGAAATATTGGGCCCATTGCAAAAGCCCAAAGAACCAAACTAGGAGTATGACTCCAGTCTCCAGGCAATTCGAGACCGGGAATCGCCACCGTCTCCTCCATCTCCCCGGACTCTGGAGCTCCGAACCTAATCCAGATTTCCAGCTCCACTGAGAGCTCCTTAAATCCTTCTGCTTTTTCAATCATGATATCTCCCCAAATCGTTAATTTCCAGTCCATTCAAAACCCCAGTCTCCCTTCGCTTCCCTTGTTTACAGCGGCCCACCGCCGTCTCTCTATCCCGAATTTCACCCCGACCCACGTCAAATTTCCCGTTGAAGATCGCGACTTTCGCCGGAGGTTAGTACCTTCGGCTCGGTTGCGGAGGCCTACGACCTGTTATGGGGTGAAGGGTTCGAAAAATGCTTCGGCGGTGGACTCTAGTAGTAGTGGCGGCGGCGGAGACGGCGGTGGCGGCGGAGGTGGTGGGGACGACGACGGGAGTGAGGGGAAAAGCAGTGGGCTTTTGCCGGAGTGGTTGAATTTCTCTCTGGACGATGCCAAGACGGTGGCCGCGGCGGTGGCCATCTCGCTTGCGTTTCGGACTTTCGTGGCCGAGCCCAGGTTCATTCCTTCGCTGTCGATGTACCCAACTTTTGATGTCGGCGACAGAATTGTTGCAGAGAAGGTAAAAGAAAACGCTCCCCTTTTCATTCCCATTAAGCTAGAGTTAGTCCCATTGCTCTAGTCAAGGATTTTGGAGGGAAGGGGTGGAGTTTTGTTCCTGGATTCTAGTTTGAGATACTTACTGGGAATTCGAATTGGACAATTGGGAATCTAGCTTGGCAGAGCTATCCCTCCAATCCAGCTTGATTATGGATTTGAGAATCCACTCGGATTTAATCAAGCAAGGACCAATTTGATGATGGGGGGTTTGTCTTGCTTCAGTGCACTTAGGTTCATGGAAATGTTGATCAGATTATGTATTCTCAGTCTAGGTTTCTTGAATGTATAAGCTTGTATGGGGAAATTGAGAATGAGAATTCAAATGCAACTTTTCAGGTCACATACCGCTTCAGAGAACCTTGTACAAATGATATAGTTATATTCAAGGCTCCTCCCGTCCTCCAAAAAGCTGGATACACGGACGAAGATGTGTTCATCAAACGAATCATTGCCAAGGAAGGCGACATTGTCGAGGTCAGATCCCTAACCTAAACAAGGGCGAGCTTTTCTTCTTCCTCTCGATGTTACTGCTGTCGTAATGACTTGGTTGATATGCTTAATCTGTCAGGTCCGTGATGGGAAGGTTATAGTGAATGGAGTCGAGAGAGATGAAAAGTTCATCTATGAGAAGCCTTCTTATAACATGAAACCAATTGTAAGCATATTCACTCTATTCTCTTTGTTCTGTAGCATGATGAAACTTCCAAGGTTCTCAATCACACACACAATTCACTGTTCTTCTGTGTTTATGCTTGCTGCAGAAGGTACCCGAGAATTATGTATTCGTGATGGGGGACAACCGGAATAACAGTTACGATTCACATGTCTGGTAAATGTTTCCCAATCTTTTGACCTATCCTCTGAAGATAAAAGATTCCAAAAGATCATCTATACTTGTTGCTTTCACTTCTACTGATACATCGAAATGCTCTTCATATAGGGGTCCTCTTCCGGCAGAGAACATACTGGGAAGATCAGTGGTCCGGTATTGGCCTCCTTACAGGATCGGCAGTACAGCTTCTGAGACAAATTGCTCTGCTGATAAGCTGGAGAGCATCAGCGTCCGAGCCCCTGCAATCAAGTCCGACTGACTGGCAGGCCTGCATCTTCACCGTTTTCCCCCTTCCCATGTTGTGTATCATGTCATTTTTTGGTAGGATTGTAACCATAGATCAAACAACCAGCCTGGTTATAACGATTCTTAGCGACAAATCGATGGATGCTTATATTTTGCACAACTCACATTGCAAAACTTTTGACGGTTGTAGATCTTTTATTGCTCATGTCATCACTTGGCAGCACAATTCTTTGCTCAAAATACAGAAGTGCTCGAGATCATACGAGCTTGTACGTACAAGAATGCTTCTTAAGCCGAATGGGGTTGCTTGTTCGAGAATCAAACATCAGGGCACAAGAGATCCTCTGTGTATGCCTAGACTTCACCAGCTTCCCCACAACGTAGCCTCTCGACCTCACCTCAAACACCAACCTCACCGGAACTTGCACTTCCTCCTCCGCCGATCTTGTCAGGCTCGCCCCTGCACCGTAGAGAGGCACCCTCATCCCCTTGACATTGACCGAGACTGCCTTGTGGCTCTTCCTCGGCTGGTAATACGACCTCAGCTGCAAAAACATTTCACAACAATACAATACAACATCACCGCCCGAACCAAAACCATAATCACGAGCTTCGTGCAGTCGATCGATCGCCACATCTAGCTTACCTGGCCTGTCGCGACAACGAGCTGGGAGAACATGATATGAACCGGAGTCGAGCTCACGCTGATTCCGAAGAACGAAGCCGGGTTATAAACCTTGATCCCCACGGAACAGTTGGTGGTGAGCATTTTCGTCGGGACCCCTGTCAGGTCCGATCCTTGCCCGAAGTAGAAATTGTGAACCGTCAAGCTCTGCCCCCAATCATCATCAAAATCCATAGATATCATCAATCAACTGGGGGCTAATTCGCAAATCGCAAGATTGAAACATTTTTCAGGAACCCAAATCTGTAAATCTCTCTCTTTCTCTCTTTACCTTGACAGTGATTTGGGGGCTGAAAGGACGGCTGGCGCCCCAGAGAAGGAAACAGAACGCCGTGAAAATCGCGGCCAAACCCATGACCGCCAGCAGGACCCGGCACCTGGCCGGGTCGCCGTAGCCATCATAATCGCCTCCTCCTTCCTCGAGGATGACGTGGCAGTTCCCGGCGGAACTGGGCCACCGTCTGATTTTCCCGGTGGGTTTCCGGGTGGCGGAGGCGGAGGAGGGGTAGGATCCGCCGGAGACGCGGCTCGATGAGGATGCGCGTGAGTGGCGGCCCGGGTGGTAGTAAGGGTGGGAAGGGGAGTCGATCGGAGTGGTGTTCGGCAGCGAGGAGGAAGAGGCGGTGGCGGATTTGTCGCCGTCGTCGTGGGAGTCTCGCGATGGGCTCTGCACGTAGTACACCGGCCGCTTTGGGGATCGCGGCGACGACGGCTCGAGGCTGGTCAGGTCGGAATCCGACGATTTCGCGTATTTGGCGTACATTTCTTTTTGTTGTTCGTTGGGTTTGAGTGAGTGGAGTGGTGAAGAAGAAGAAGCTGTGAGAGTGTGGAGTAATGGAGTTCTTCTCTTTTTTTGTTTGGCAGTGAAATTGTGAAACGGAATTGGGTCGGAAAGCATGTGATTGCGGAGGAAGAGGGAGAGAATGAAACGGTGGGGTGGACACTTGTAAAGGAGAAAACAGAGCTTTTTTTTGGGTTGAGTTGGTCAGTTCATGAACTAATTTTTTTTTTTTTTTATTACCTAAGTTTGAGTGTTTACTGTTTAATGTTTTTAAGGATCTCATTAAATGTTCAATTTTTATGGTGAAACTGTATATGGAAAGACTAAACTTGGGAAACTACTGGTTCGATGCATAATAGCAAAATAGTGCCAAGATTGTATATGGGGAAAAAAAATTATCATACGGCGAACAAGGGATCGGTCAAGTTAAAAATAAATTTTACATGATTTTAGCATATAACAATATGGTTAAAATTTTGAAATTGGTTATAAAACTATGTTAATATAAATTAAAACTTATTAACTTATTAATTTGATTCATTGAAATGGGTTAATTAAACATGTTTTAATTATCGAAGCATAAACAAAACCAAAAAAAATTAGACAACTATGCGATAGCATGAAAAGAGTGTTTTTTTTTATATTTAGTATGCACACGAGTATTAAATGAATATAGAGCACTTCTACTATGCTATATAGCATTGGTGCTTTAATGTACAACTCAAAGTTGTACCATAACATTAAATGTATAAGTTTAGGTTGTACCATAAAGCAATTTGTACCATTATGTTATTGTACAACTTTACAACTTGAAGTTGTACCATCACATAAAGGTACAAGTTCGAGTTGTATCATAAAAGAATTTGCACAAAAAGTATATGTACAATCTAAAGTTGTACCATAAAGACAAAAACTTATAACACCAATACTATATAGTATTGTAAAATTTCTCATGAATATATTATGATAATTACTCCCGTAGAAATGAAAGGGAACTCTTGAAATTGACTATATAGTTCCTTCTTTCCCTTGCATTCCATAATATATGAAAATATTATTGCTGTCTCATCGTATAAAAGAGCATCACCAAAGACAATATCCAACAAATTATTTTCAAAAATACAAATACTATATCAAAATATGCCACATTGGTAAATTAGCATACCACAATAGTAAGAATTTTCATACCTTGTTATGACTGTGCTAAGATCCAACCTAACAATTTATTTTGTCATAACACCATCATATAATTTTCATCTAACCGTTATGGTAATTCTCTGTTCCAAGACTTATTATCATTATATCAAGATCTTACTATTATGCTAAAACTCTCTTCAGTGTCATAGCAGGCAAGCTCATATTGTGAACTATTGTATATTAAAACTGTGTATATCATATTATCATATCATAATCTTATCATTGTGCAAATACTATGTTATTTGTTATATCAACACCTTATCGTTACCACCGTGGACATACTCTTCCCTGTCATATTATCATGTTATACAAAAACTTATAGCACATGAAATGCAAATAATTACATAAAAAGTTCGTTGAATAGGGATGCTCGTTATTCATATTATACATTATTTCAAAACTAATAAAATCACCAAACCTTCACGTTTTCTAACCTTAAGCACATAAAATTACTATACCCACATTCGATTGTTCTAGGAAATATATAATATCAAATAAAAGCACCGCCACTAGCATTTCTACCTTGACCCCTAAAAATGCAGCCATTCATTGTCTCAATCTTACCTTTGTTCTTGAAACCTAAAAATGCAGGCATTCGTGGCGTCAATCTTCCCTTTGTTCTTAGAATTATGTCGGCGAGGAATATGTTTCTCAAGCACTAAAGGAGTTCAAATAGTGATTGATACTTGAAGTGTTTTTCATGGAACAATGAAAGCCCTTAGATTATGATCAGTCTCTTTGTTTTGAGTGTTGTTTATGACTGATCTTTATGAAGTTGGGAATATTTGGACACGATTTGGTATCTCATTGAATGGACTGGCTTCATGAACCAAATTAATGTAACTATTACAATAATAACCACTAAATTTTGTTACAGCAATCCCAGATACATTAACACAAACAATGAAAAATTTGTATAAAATTTCATTTAGCCAAACATTGTACAGTGTAGCAATACGAAAAAAATCATGATACAATGGAATATGGTCATATGGATGAAGAATTGCTATAAGTCAAGAGCAGCCAAAACTGATGGAATCGGATCAACCCTCCAACTATCTCAAACATTAGATTGGAACAAGTCAAGAACAGCCAAAACTGAGATTGGAGGTCTGTTCCTCTTCCAGAGGCCAAAAGAACCATACAGCCCATCACCATACTTATATCTTCACACTTCGAATTGTACCTGAAACCAAAAGAACTACGTCCAGCCAAACCATTCTCGAAGAACCAGTACATTGATACAATGTTCGCCATTAGTTCAAAAATGGAGTCCATATAAAATATGGCCTCATAGGGAATCCGATTTCGGTTGTCGACATGAAGTTTAGATTCAGTCATATGCTTGTCAAAAGAGAAATCATCGGCCATCTTTCTTGACATAAACACCACAACAAGAGATCTCAAATACTTAACATTGAGAAAGAACACGATTTCAGGGTCATCAGATAGGAGCGAAAGACTAAAAAGGATTTATCTAATCACAGTGATTACTCAGCTGAACTATGCATTATAAATCATCACCTGACCCCATTAATCAAATCCATGAAAAAACAGTAAATCTTGTTTAAAAACAAACAGAGGAAACATAAGCCTCAGAAGGAAGGCAGTAGTGGTTTGTTATGTAATCAAGCAATTCGTCATACTGACACAATATCACCAGTTCTCATCACAGGCAAAAACAAAAGCATTGAAAACCCAGATGGAAAGAACAGATCTTGAAATCGAATTGAAATGGCCTCATAGAGAAGATTAGGCGTATCAACATGGTTGAAATTCAGACATATGCTTGTCAATTTTCGATATTAAATCATCGGCCATACAACATCGAAATCGAAAGGGGAAAAAAGAACGAAACTTGGAACTGGGTTTTTTGTTAGAAGAAGAAAGTAATTGAAGGGGGACTCAGAATATGGGTGGTGATATATCAGAATGGTCGTCAAGGCCTTTTACAGCCATTACGACGAACGAGACCTTTCATGATAGTAATCGTCACCGTCCCGCTACCACTCGAGAAACCGAAGAAGGAGGAGTAAAGGAAAGGCGAAAGAATCAAATGAAAACCCTAAACCTGGAGGTAGATCTGGACGAGATATGAGAGGAAACGCAGGTACTGCTACTTATAAGAGAGAGAGAGAGAGAGATGGCGGAAAGGGGAAGCGGCTAGGGTTTTGATGAGATGATTGCAAGGGTTTCGGATCTGGTAGTTGTTTCTTTAGCGGGGTGTAGAGAGCGCGCGTAAAGATGGCTTTTTTCCAATATGGGCTTTGATGTTCGACGATTGGCTGGGAAGCCCAGGCCCAATATTGAACGATTCATAAGCTATAGGCCCATTCCTGGCGGCAATTTACCACCAGCCGGCTGGAGTTACCAAAGCCTTAGGGCGCACACGAGAGTTTTTGTTGGTTCTCCGTAACCTCGATTAGTTTTGAATGAAAGGTTAGAATGCATTTTTCACATCGAAAAATGAATTAAACAGAGCTGATACCTACGAGCCACAAAAATGACACGTTGTCTTATCTATACGACAAACATTTTTCACAGAGCTAAATGTCAGAAAGAGATGCTACCAAGTACAGGGACGAAGCTACATAGTGTGTAGGGGGAGGCCATACGAATGTTCGAAAGTTCTGGAAATTTACGTATCAACTGAAGTAATTTTTAATATAAACAGTTTAAATGTATGGTTTCCTCGCGGGGCATTCTTCCTCGGTATGTCTAGTTAGCCACACTCATAGCCAGATGGTCGGCATGTTCTTGTACAAAACTTTCGGTCATGAACTTTAGCGAAGTTCACGTCTGATGCTAACACTCATGTCTCCACCAGGGTGATGGGAACTTTTGGGTAAGGCTCTAATGGAGGTTACCATTTTACTGAGTGTAGATTATACTAGTCAGCTCTTCTAGACTGAGTTTGCTCATACATTTGATTTCACTTCTGCAGATACTTGGCCCCAGAGTATGCTGCAAGTGGAAAGCTCTCCGACAAATCCGATGTGTTTTCCTTCGGAGTAATGCTTCTAGAGCTGATTACAGGGCGCCGCCCTGTTGACACGACTCACACTTACATGGACGACAGTCTGGTGGACTGGGTAAGTTTGCTTGCTTGACCATGAAGTTTTGATCTGCAATGCAGAGTTTCAAGTTAGTTCAACAAAGCTAATCAACTTCATTGTTTCTAATTGCTCTCTAGGCTCGGCCCTTACTTTCACGGGCTCTGGAGGATGGAAACTACGACTCCTTGGTCGACCAAAAACTCGTAGACTACGACCACAACGAGATGTCTCGCATGGTCGCCTGTGCTGCCGCCTGTGTTCGCCACTCTGCTAGGCGTCGCCCACGCATGAGCCAGGTAAAATCATCAGGGCTCTTTATTTTCCCACGACGCACTTCCAAAGGCTGGAACTTTTGCTTCTGTAACTTGACATCAAAACCGTGCTCAACATCATCCACACAGGTAGTGCGAGCTCTAGAAGGAGATGTATCGCTAGCAGACCTCAACGAAGGGATTAAACCAGGGCACAGCCGAATGTATTCATACGAAAGCTCGGATTATGACACAAGCCAGTACAATGAGGACATGAAGAAGTTCAGGAAGATGGCACTCGGCAGCAAAGAGTACGGTGCGAGCGACGAGTACAGCGGCCCTCCCACGAGCGATTACGGGCTCTACCCTTCCGGATCGAGCAGCGAAGGGCAGACGACAAGGGAAATGGAGATGGGGAAGGTGAAGAGAAACAGCCAAGGTTTCAGTGGAAGCTCTTGAGTTGAGCCTTCTCACCATCTCTCTATGTAAAGCCAATCCCTTCTTTCCCCTCCACTACTCTATTTTCTCGAATGGAATTTTTATTTTCGGTTTTGAATTGGATCATTGGATGTCACATTGATTTCCCAGAACGATATGTGTGTTCTTGGTGTGATCAACCAACACATGAGCAAAAAGTTTTTTCTTCTTCTACTTCTTCCCTTGCTGATCAGTTTTTTTTTCTTTTCCTTTCTCTTTGATTTTCTACCAATGTATTTATTAGTAGCGAGTAAATACTGGAAAGACAGGCTAAATTGACAGTATAGTAGAAGCTTTATTTTGATTCTTTGATTCATTTGCTGCTTATTTGAATGGAATGTGAATACATGCTGCAATGTGTATTCGTTTTGTGTCCTTGAAGATGCTTCTGTAGTTTCGATTCAGCGACTAAGCCGGTAATGATTCGTGCACAGTACGACGATAACAAGTTTATCACTGTACTTTGAACCGTTAGTCTTACCGAGTAGATCTGTTGTAAGTTTTCGTACTATACCCCGTTTTGGTGTAAGGAGCACATTCTATTGATGTGTGTGAGCAGGACATGGCAACCATTGAGAATGAATGCAGTGCAAGGGATGAAACAAAAAGCTAAATTTGTTTGTTGAGATTTGGGGTTATGATGAAGGTTTTAGACCAAAGTTTGTTGGTTAAGTCTTGAAAAGGCTTCAAAGTCAGAGAGGAAGGTGGTGTGGAGTTGGTTTGAAGCTTTGGGAGATGAAGGAAGATAAGTAATGGACAGCTCATCTTTTTTGTTGGGCCTGACTTTGTCATTCCAAATGTTGGATGACAGCTGGTGGGCCGGCCATGGACCTTTCTTCCTTTTCAGTTTCCATTTACTGTTAACGGTTAATATCCATATGGGACACTTAGCGTAAATGGAAACTTTTATCTAACTGTCAAAAATAATATCAAAATTTCATAATAACGGAAAATTTTGGCTCAATGCTTTGTAATCAATTCCATGGATGAAGAACATTTCTCATTTACTCTCCAGAAAGCTCAGTCTTACACAGAGCATTGTATGTAGTCAAGCCAAAGAGAAATGTACAGTGAAGTCTATATAGAATGATGATAGAGAAGCCTACCTTCCTTTCCTCTCTTCTACAACACCAAAAATGCTTCATCATTCATTTTCCTGTGTTACACAATCAGTAGTAATGGAGAAACAGGTAGACCGAACCCGAGAACGAAGAAGAAAAAAGAAAATGGGTTGTGTGCTCTACAGATTTCCTAAACGACCAGACCCAGATCCTCTCTTCCTCCTCCTCCGCCTCTGCCGAATCCTCCATATGCTCAAAAACAACAACACACCTGCCACACCGGCACAAACAAGAAGGTTTGAGTAAACCAATGCTCAGTCAACTAACGACTATCCCAAGTATGCGAAAGATTCTACTGAATACTTCACAAACCTGTAATGGCTATTGCTGCAGGGACAAGCCAATGGCTCCCTACCAGAACGGGCATATCAAGCTGCGTATGGAACCAATCAACAGATTGTTAAGTTGCCATGATTTGAGGACAACGATGATGAAAAAAGCCACCAGATTCCACGTTCTTACCTCATCGCCATTGAGAATGCCTAGGAGATGATTCCCTTGTGTATCTCCCTTGTTTCTTCTTTCTGTAACTTTTGAATGCTCGACCTTGAAAGGGTTGGGCGTAGTAGAATTCAGACCTCTCCCCAGATCTATGATAGGGTAGCCTGGAAGTCTCCGGTTTCTTCCTCTGACGTGCAGGTTGTAACCTTTGGTACCCCACACTTCGAATCTGGAGTCCCTCCTGCATATCAGATCCTGGCCCAGCACTGCAGAGTAGGAAGAGAAGTTTACATCTGTTCTACGCGAAGGTAGCTGGTTGTCATCCACGTAGATGGCCATGTCTTGTTTTGCAGATTGGGAGAAGAGCAACGGATCTCGAGCACTAGAGCTGGTGAAATCTAGTAGTTTTTTGAGAAGCCAGTAACAGTTGGTGACCATGTGGCTACTGTCCAAACAGTTGGAGTCTCCGTAGACTGCAATTCGCCCTTCGCCTGCCTCCACAAGGCCTAGAATTGGAGAATCCGCCTGCACAATATATTACAGCATAATAAACCCATCAAAATTCCAAACACAATTCCACATTGCAAAGATCCTTTCTTTTCCAGTAGAATTGTGGACTATTTCATTAAAAATTATTTGCTGATTGCGACAAATATGTATGCAAATTGCTCCAATCGAGGCAGCAGATTAAATTGAGACTTAGGCTGTCTGTTTCAGCTTAAAGGTATACACCCTTTAATTTCAGCAAATACCGAAGTGGTAAGAAGACAATGTTTATGGAATTCAGATTCTTTTTACCTTCCCTGATCCTGAATTCGACAGCACATTCTGAGTTGCACCACTCTCTGAGCTATCCAGTAAAGGGAAACCATGCACGTAACCACCTGATGGAAACCTCACAATATCAGTTCCTGATGCATACCGACTTTGCTCTCCATCAATGGAGAAATCTCCGTTCAAAATCTTATCCCCAAAAGCAATCCCAAACGGAGCCAAGAGATCATTCAATCCAGGAACATTCGCTCCTCCCGTAACAGGTGTCCACCAGCTTCGTGTGTTATCGTCAAAGAATCTCATCTTCACCATCGTATCCACATTATACCATTCAGCAAACACAGCTAATCCTAAACCACTGTTAATAACATCGTCCCTCAACTTCTCAATCTCCTCTGCAAAGTACTCATCTTCGAGATCCACAAGTAGAAGTGTTCCATAATGGCGAGCATCAAAGCATGTGAAAGGAGAACCAAGCGTCTCAACATAGTATCCAGCATCTCTTAACATGTTAAACATGATGTGAAAATTTGTGTGTAGATGATCTCCATGCCAATCAAGAATGTCATTCCGAACATCTAAAGAGTCTCTCGGAATATATCCTGGAGGGTATTTGATGTTGTGAAATTGGTCCCACAAAATCCGCTTCGACCTAGGTGGAGTGGGGACCACCTGCAGTTTCAGGTGAAGCACACACGTGCTTCTTCTTTTCGTCTTCTCACCAGGAGATGGAGGACTGTAGATAGTGAGAGTTACATTACCCTCGATTTCACCAGAAAATTGGGCACCTTCTTCTTTGATTTGCATGTGAAGTGCTATGTAGCCTGTCCATGGCCAGATGATTTCTGAATAGGTGAAGTGAATGTTTAACAGATTTCCATCTTCATCTGAGGGATTCCATATGGGGGGACTTTCAACATAACCAATAACGCCCATGCCATTTAGAATCGTGGCATTGAACATAATTGGCATTGCCCCGGCGTATAAGGGTTGGCGGCAGAATGGCCAAGAGTAAGGGCAATCTGAAAAATCAAGAATACCAGGGAAGATGGTCGCCCGAGGTTGATAAATCTTCAAGATTTCATAGGACTCCAACCTGAGAAAGAAGGGAAAGTTAAGACAATATAGTTGCTCGTGTAGTAAAGCAGGAAAGTGAAATACCATGAAAAAGAGAACCTACAGATTTACTCTTCCTGCACCCTGCTCATACAGATTGGGACCAGAAAGCTTGGCAGCTCCTTCAACCAGTGCTTGTTTCATGCTTGCAGGATTTAGAATGGCCTTACGGTCACTCTCAGGAATCACACTAACAAGTAGGCAGACTACACCAGCAACCACAGGGCTTGCCACACTAGTCCCTGATAAGCTTTTACACCCTGAACTTATCTTTGATCCCATGATATCTTTCCCATATGCAACGACATCTGGCTTCACACGGCCATATCTATCAACCAAAATTAGAAAAAAGTCAAGGTCTACTACAAACAAATAAAAATAACAACGGGCTACATACTAATAAAATGATCTCCACACGATCGCAACTGCTGCTCATACTTGGCAAGAAGAAATGAACATGTAAATAGGTCAGGACTCCTGCTACCTTTCACGTCCTAATTGATAAAGTTTCAAGGCAGTGCAGAAAAGTATATTAAACATAAAGCGATCAAGGTCAAAAGATATCTTCCCTCTACTCTATTTGCATCAAAATACCATATCAGAAAAAGGTCCGATCTTGCAATGCAACTATGGGCAAACTCGTGAATATTTGGGAAATATGGTGAGTCTACAAATGAATGCAGAACACAAATACTTGAATCATCTGAAACATGAAGCAGTCAAATGAAAAGCGTAGCATTCAAGTCTTCTCCCAACAAGAAATTTGGTCAACCATAAGCTATAACACAAAGCCGTTTAGAAGAGTAAATAGATTACCCATGAGGAATCTCCCAAGTGCTCATGCCACGTGATGAAAATGGGGCAATATGATCATTGTAATCTATTCCACCAACGCCAATTACATCACTTTGGTCTGCTGGATTGTTTAAAGTGCCATAAAGAGGCCCATCATTTCCAATAGCGGAGACCATAATTATGTTATTGGCTGTTATCTCCCATATCTGATGGTCAAGATGCAAAGGAACACTGGGATCAAGAAAAATAGCCAATAAAACTAATGCTAAAGACTTTCGTAGGAAAATAAAAAGAGTGAAACACCAATGCTAGCCATACTAGAATGAATAATTGAAAATAGAATTGCAAGACACTACACAAAATGATACCCTAAACCAATGTCCAATTGACCCACACAAATACTTGAGATACCACGTCTGAATATCAAATGATAAAAACATGATGATTGATAGGGAGTTTGTTGTCCAATAAAATTTAGAGTGTGTGCACGGCAGTTGCTCTCTCCTGCCTATGCCTATACAAGAGTTAACAAACTCCCAAAACAACTCTTACCTTTTCAACGAATGGGAGGTCCAGGAAATCAGGGCCACCGATGCTCAAGTTCAGTACATCCATTTTTGTTGCAATAGCATAGTTAAATGCGTCAAGGAACCATGATGTGTAAGATACCTGCAATAGGCTGAATACGAAATTCTCATAATCTTGGTAAGTCTAACGACTTAATCAAATTGCAAAAAGGAAAACGGTAAAAACAATTTGAATATTCACTAAAACATATACAACAGTCTACCAGATACTTCTCGCACCATGCTATCATCAATCTAACCCGTAGAAAATGATTCTACAGTCCAATGAAAATATGGGAGCCACTTTTGGACCCTAAAATGCAGTTGGCTTTTGTCTCCATGCACTCAGCTTGATAAATATTTCATACTCTAAGGAAAAGAAAAGGATAGGCTGCTATAATCTTCACCAAACCGGTAAATTTGAAAACAAAAAAGTACTTCTAGCTAATAATTACCTGAGCATCTGTGAATACCCGGAATGCATAAATCTCAGCATCAGGGGCAAAACCAAGACATTCTTCATCTTGGCCAGCGATAACACCCGCAACAAATGTCCCGTGTCCCAGGTTGTCATTTAAAGTATCCTCACTTGTCCAGTTAGTACGTTCCTGAGACAGTATACAAAAAATGCACATCATGGTTTCACCTTCTCCCCAAAACCAAATACTGAAGAATGTAACCTTTGAACTGGAGTAGAAGAGAAACAGAAACATAAAATGAAAAATATATAGTTCCTCGCGATTCAATACCTTGATGTTACGGAAATGTGGGTGATCAAATCGAATTCCAGTGTCAAAAATAGCCATCTTCACCTTAGCACCGGTATACCCTTTAGACCAAAGAACGTCAGCTCCAAATAAAGAAGTCACCTGTGACTTCTGCTGCAGAAAAAGAAACTCACAATAAGAAGATTTGGAGAAGAATGGAAGTTTGGCAACGCTTTTTCCCTGCTCCTAGCAAGGGAAACCACTCATTTTGGACAGTTTGTAAAATGAACCAGCAAGCAAAGTTAAAGCAAGAAAATCACTCCGTAGCTAACAAGTGTACCATCAGATAACTACTGGCCCGGAGAATTCTACCAGGTATCTTATGAAATCAAGTTTGACTTTGAAATTTCAGAGTGCAGTTTGGAAATGACGGGCTGCTGGCATCGAATCGATATATTCACATCAAACTGCATCTAATCTCCATTCAATTGCAAGCAATACGACAAAGGGAATTGCGAATTCCGGAAGTTCAATCGAATCAGAATGCACCAAGAACAGCATTCATTGATTGATTCATTCAGGAATCTACGTTTATCAATTTGCCTATCCTATGATAAGAACACACCTGTGCTAGCAGCTCCCTTCCCCAATGAATAGAAGAATTACTGGTTTCGGCCACCGCATGATGCCGCTCCTCGTCTTCACTGAATGACATAGAAGTGAATATCTTCCCAGGCCGTTTCTTCCCATCGGAAAACGAACCACCGCCACCTCCACCGCCGCTGCCGGAAACGCCAAGCAATTCCCTCTTATAGCTGACATCCACATTCACATCCTTGACCATTTCCAACTTCCCAATCTCCCCCACCACTCTCTCCGCCACACTTCCCTCCACAGCCACCAGCCCAAAGTCCGTCGCGAACTTCATCGCCGGATTCCTCCTCTCGATCCATTCCCACCCTCCCCCCAATCCAAGCTCCGATTCCAAGTACCGCCGGTGGTCCTCCGCCTTCTTGTACTCCCTGAATCGCACTATGTAGTTGTTGTTGTTCCGCCCGGTCTCGTTCTTCCCGCCCTCGGAAACTAGGGTTAGGGTTTCCTTCCGGCGAAATGGAGCGAAATACCGGAAGAGGAAGATTGAAATGACGGCCGCGAAGACCGCGGATTTGAACGGAAACCTCGAGGAAGTTCTCCGACGAGCGGCCATGGCTACGGAGCCCGGTTCTTCGTTGCTGCTGCAGCTGTCGGAGCTCGTTTGGTTTGGCGGGAAACCCCACACATAGAGAAATGGAAATCGGGAAAGTATCTCTCTTTCTCGTTATGATGAGAGTTGATCTGTTTCCTTCTTCTTCTTCTTCTTCTTCTTCTCCAGTCTGAAAGCTTTTCTCTTTTCTTTCTCTGGGTGGAAAAAAATTCGATCTTTTCCACGTTCCGCTATTGAGAGGTACCTCCCCTAACTAATTTTAAATTCTCCATAGGTCCCACTTCTTTTGAAAATTACACTTCTTACCCGATAAAAGATTGAGATAGTCAAACACGCCCTCTTCCTCGTTCTTGTGAAACGTTGTCGTTTCCACCCTCGCCGCCGGTACAAAGGCCGCAGCCATAGGAAGGGGAGGAAGTGGATGATTGATGGCGGGAGCAGGATTGGGTTTCAGTTCGTCTCTCTCAGCTCAAAGCAGGGCGACGGCCGGAATTATGGTTAGGATTCCAGTTCCGTTATTGAAGCGACGGAAGTTGAAGTTCGCGGGATTGAATGAGGTTTTCCGCATTCGAGTGGCGGGTTGCGGCGTATCTTCGACTCGATTGTATAACTGCGGGAGTTGTGCGGCTGAGGAACGAGTCTCGGTGGACATGGAAAGGTACAAGGAGGCTTTTGGGAGGAGAATGGCCGTGGCTGGACTCAAACCTCACCATTCTATTGGTCAGTCTTCTGTTACCTATTATGCGAGCATAAGACCATGGTAGTTCTGTAGGTGAATTTGGTTAAACTGTGGAATTTTGTGGGAAGGGAAGGGGCGAAAGCAATTATCATTTTGGTTGTGGAGGTGGGTTTTCTCAGAATCGTGTGGTTTTGTTGATTGAAGCTTTCATCTTTTCTTCTTGGAACTTGTAGTTAGTAGTGGTGAAGTGGTGAAGTTGGCTGAGAGAGTTGTGTTATATTCCCGCAGCTGTAGGAGTCTCAGGCGGCCCTGACAGTATGGCGTTGTGTTTACTAACGGCTGCTTGGAAAACTGATGGTCCTTATGCTGCTAGCCAGAGTGATGGTTATGTTGATGGACTTTTGGCCATTATCGTTGATCATAGGCTACGCGCAGAGAGCAAAGAAGAGGCACACATTGTTTCTCGCCGTGTTTCTAAAATGGGTGCATTTCGGTTTCTTTTGCGCTTTGTTAGCATGTTTCAGCTTTTTTCTTCTACTATGGCTTAACTTGAACATTTTTGTAGGGATCAGATGTGAGATTGCAGAGTGTAATTGGTCGGATGGAAAGCCGAAACAGGGTCATTTGCAAGAAGCAGCACGAGATATGAGGTTCTGTTCTATATGTCTTTAACAGTCGAGCTGTGAATACTGAATACCACTTGTTTAGCTGGCCTAGGATTTGATCACATTGATTTGCTTTGTTTCCTATCCTAATCTGCATTCCAGGTATCAAATTTTTCAGAAAGTTTGCATTCAGCATCAAATTGATGTGCTACTTATTGCTCATCATGCAGACGACCAGGTTTGAATGACGATGTTCTTCATGTGGATCCCAGGTTTTTACCTTTTGCTGATTAGCATGTTGAAAATGAAGGTTTGCTTGGAAAACAAATTTGCAGGCTGAGCTACTGATTCTTCGACTTTCCCGCGGTAGTGGTGTGCTTGGACTTGCGGGCATGGCATTTGCTTCTCAGTTATTCTCTACAAGCACGGTTTTGCATAATGAAGGTTCGAACAATAAAGGCCTACTTCTAGTGCGTCCACTGTTGCACTTTTCTAAAGAAGATATGTACAAGGTTAGTGCATATCGAGATGCACTTTTACAGAAAGAGAGATTTTCATTTCTTGAAGACAATGATTTTTGCATATCAAAGCAATCAATTGATATTACATGTGGAAATGCCCTGTATCTGAAGTATATTCCTTTCTTCTCCAGATATGCCAAGCAAGTAATCAAGACTGGGTGGAGGACCCAACAAATCGAAGTCCAGCTTATGCTCGGAACAGGATCAGAATGTCACTGGGAAATTTGTCATCATGTGAGCCCTTTGGCGATTAATTTTATTGCACATAAGATATTTTTTAACTTAAAAAGAATTTAAGCTTTACGATTTAAATGCTATTGGTTGGAATTCTGATTTGTGTCGTCTAATGTTCCAGATACTTTCCAGTCTGAAATTCAAGAGCTAATATCTTCATGTCGAAAAACACGTGCATATGTTGACCACATGTCAAATGAATTGATTGATCAGGCTGTGAACATCATGGATGTAAGCATAGATTTTACTGTTGAATTATGAAAGTTTTATTTAGATACTATCCTTGTCATGTTACTGAAAGTTTATATCTTGCTTGTTATTCTTTTGAACGGCATCGGGGTCCTCGATGTTTTCCCAGCAGCAAGGTTATGCTGTTATTGATTTGATGGTTCTTAGTCCATCCAAAGTTCCAGATATGTGCCTTTCAAAGTTTATTGCGTTGGTCTTGCAGGTAATTGTCATTTATATTATCTTCTTGGATACGGTTTTACCTTTTGGTCTAGAATTGGCTAGTTATGTTCCTAACAGGCTAATAGTAATTTGTCATCTGAATGCCTCAGTTTGTCTCTCAAAAGCACAGAACTGTTAGAGGCGCCACTAGTAAACGGTTATTGGATTACGTTCGCACTTTCCCATGTAAGGCAAGTTTACTAGTCTTAAAATTTTGATGCAGTTATATTTTGGTTATTCTTGGTCAGAGACTCAGAGTTAAGCTTTTCCTCGTCTTTCTGATGCACTTTGAGTACCTTGCAGACGTCTTTTACTGTAGCTGGATGTTATCTCTGCCCTTCTCCTGGTTCTAGGGGGACGAAACTCTTAGTTTGCTGCTCTGTCAATTGCCATCTGCCTTCAACAATTGAAGTGAATAACTCAGACTTTGATAGAGAACAGAAGCAGTATCCTAGCATGTTGGATGAAATCATAGCCGAAGGGAAGTCTTATGTAGATCAGTTTGTACCAGATGTAGTAGATGTGAAGTTCTTGGACATGACATGCCAATCAGTGTTAGCAGAAGCGAAAAGAATCGGTATCATCAGCGAGTCAACTCATAACAACATAACCTTACTGGAGAGGAATGAAACAAAGTATTTCAAGCCTGAGAATAAGGTACACTTGGAGCAAGAGATCATAGAAAATCCCAGCACCTCAGCATCTGAAAGTGAGCTACTCCACCCAGGCAAAGCATGTTACTTCATGGACAGATTCATGGTTACTTGGAATGAAAGACCGCTCAGTTACTGCTCATCTTTGGTAATTGATCATCGAACAGCTGCTGAAGTACGCTATATGGCCGAGTCTGATTGGCTCTATCTGGCCAAATTGGCCAGGTGTAAAAATTTGCATGATTTGGTGCCACAAATAACTGATGCAGACAGTGAAGTAGAGCAGATAGCAAGAAAGAGAAAACAGAGTTTAGAATACATGCAGTTATCGGCAATAAAATCTCTTCAATCTTTGAAGTCCATCCCAGTTGCTGCCAGAAGAAGCCTGCCTGTATTAGTAAACCATGAAGGAATCCTACTGACTATACCTGTATGTTTTCATCTCTGAAATTCTGATACTCCATTTATAAGTTTTGCTGTCAAATTGTTCACGGTTATATATATCATTAAACCTTGTAATCCTTATCTCATTCGTGGTCTTTTTTCTCTCTCTTTTTGCAGAGCATTGGATTCCAGTGCTGCCCTTGTTTGATTGTGTCCTGCGCATTCAGGCCAAGATTGCCACTAGGGGGAGGTCACTCTTCGTTTCTGTAGTTTATGTGCATTAGCAAAGAGCATATGTATAATAGAGGCCTTCAATTTTGGTGTTTGTTGTTACTCATTTGTACATCTTTAGACTAGAAAGAATTAATAGAAAGGTGGAAGCACAAATCCAACCATGAACAAACTGTATTCCACATTATGCAGTAAGAAACATCAATAGTTTAATCTGTCAACTCACAGGATTCATTCAGATTCTTGCATTAAAGCTCGGGAATGAATTATTATGGTTGATACAAATTCATACAGCAGCAGCAGCTAATTCAATTCCCAAATCCAATCTTAAAAAAAACCTATCCTGCTAACTCTTCTCATGTTACAGTGAAGAGAGAGATTCAAAGAGGAAAATAGTAAAAAATGATAATAAGGGAGGAGAACATAGTCATCATTATCATAATCCACCTTGCCCTCCTCTCTCTTTCAAAATCTGGAACGATTTGAACCACTGTTTCCATGGAGCATCTTTTTGTTGGTCGACCCATGACAAGAAAGCACTGTCTATCAAGCAAAAGAAATTGACATAGAGAAGTTGGTACTGTACTGGTACATATCTGAAGTTAGCCACCTGAACCAGTGGCCAAATACCGCCTTCCAAGACTAACGACGGAAGGAAGTCCCTCTTCACGTCTTCTTTCACTTGAGCAGCACTCTTCCCTGTAGAAAATCCAATGTAGGTGAAGAACACTAGCAGATCCAAGGGCCCAAAGATTATGCCGTCAGCTGCCACTTTAGCCGCCACAAACCGAGCTGATTTTGGTGCTAGTTTAAGTCTCAACCTGATAAACTTGTCCAAGTACTCATACCTAAATAAGAAATAGGACTCGATTTAAGTTAAGAACTGATTGAAGAATATGACTTGCTAAAGCTAAATGATTGACAAAAAGACGAAGAGGCAAACCAGAAGTGGCCAACTGGACCAACAAATCCGAGGCCAAATGCACTGGTAGTAGCTACACGCTTCCAATTTATTCTGAATTCAGCCTCTTTATCCTGCCACATGAAATACAGTTACTCATCTTCCTGGAGTTTAGAAACTACCTTCAGTAATCATTGCAGATAACAGCTTCAGCTTAACAAAATGGCTACTGAATTCCCAGAGGACCACATGGTATTTAATGATTCTCAGCCACAACATGAAGATGCTATAACAGTAACACAGAGTAGGCAAAACTGTTGGTGATTCAAGTTCTTAAGGTGATGAAACTCTGGCAGCAATATGCAGTCTCGTGATTAGATTAAACCACGTACAAAAAGCTCCTCATGGTGTTAATGGAGCAGACACAACTGAGTTAGGTCAAAAGAAGGTACACATACAAATTGATTTTGTTCCTTTTCCCCACCTAAATAATGTCTCAAGTCACGTTTCGTCTCAGAACCAAAGCTGAAACTCTAAATTATTTACACATCATGATATCTGATTGTTGACCGAACAGCTAACTAGCGCGAAATGATATAACCATTGGCATAATGTTCAGGTGCAATATGCAGCTACCAGACCATGAACTTGCTGCAATCATGCCAAGGGCATTGCCGAAACTACAACAAGTAAGCCGTGTTAGAAACAAGCCCGTGTTCTGATAAGCTTCAGTACTGTACCCAGAAAAAGATTTTCATCTAGGAAAAAGAAAAACAGTAAAAGATTCAAAGTAGACCTTTCCAGCTTTCCAATAGTAAAGGCTACCAAAAACTTCAACGCCGAGAACAGTGAGACACGTCCATTCAACAGAACCAAAAGCATTCAAACACATTAAAGTCGTCAATTGGTCAAAAACCCCAACCAGCGCGGCGGCGGCGGCGCCAGGATTGTCCCCGGCAACCACAACAAAGAACCATACGGAAAGGGCGAAACTTGTCGAAACCCAGTTCAAAGAACAAGCAATTGAATCGAAATCCGAAACAATCAATGATCCCCAACGAAGCTAATGATGAAATGCGAACAAGAAGAAGAGGAAGAAGAAAAGAGGGGTTTACTTACGGTACACTGAAGACGTTTAATAGCAGTGGAGTGAGTGACATATTGAGCACCGATATCGCCGGCGCCCCAAAGGAAACCGGAGCTGATGACCTGGGTCTTCAACGGATGAGAGGTTAGGCAGTTGCGATACCAGCCCCATAGCTTCAACAACATTTCTTTCGTATAGGTGAAGAAAGGGAACGGAGACTCGGAGAGAGGGAAGAAAAAGAAGAAAACTGTATACGAGGAAACAGTTCATATTTATACTGGGAGGAAAATTGTAAATAGTCATCAAACTTTGGTGTTTTTATCAAAACAGTCATTAAACTATTAAAATGTAACAGATGAGTCACCAACTTCTTCATTTTATAACAACATGCCTTCATTTGGTACCCAAATTGCGTAATTTATAATGACCTATCACTAACTCTAATCCGTTCTAGTTGGTTTAATCCAAAATTTCAACTTCAAAAGTCTGGACAAACCACAAAAGCAAAACTCAATGCATATCATCCTCTTTTACTTTCAATAAGGCGAGCTATTGTTGAACCAAAGGATCCAAGAACGAGAAAGCTAGTTGTATACTTATATGCCTTGATCTTAACTCATGAAAAGATTGTATGAGTCCTTAAATCCTCATTAATCGATCATCTTGTTTCGGTCCAAGAGAATTGATCGAGTTTTAGAGAGCATCTAATAAGAAATTCTAGCAATGGAAACTCCTCACCCATAAAAGTGTTTTATTTTCTCGAACTGGAGTTGGAAAATGAGTATTTGAAAACCTTAATCACCTAGGATTTCCACATTTGCATATCTCACTGAGAAAGATCTAGGATATTACTATTATCTCTTAAATTAACCACAGTGATAATTGGCTCAATCCATTGAAAATGGCTACCGTGGCACTCTCTGGTCCTCCAAAATCCAAATATTAGTTAGTATTTTATAGGTGGTAGCAGGCCAGGCATAACCCTTTTGGCCTTTGTTTGCATGGCCTCACAAAAAAATGGGCAAAAAAAAAATACTATCCACAATCTATTTCTGATAAAATTAGTGGATAAGAATCCCTCTACGCTCGCTTCTTTCACTACAGAACAAAGCCCTTCTTATTTTTCTCCCCAATCAATTGTGTATTACTCCAGTTGTGCTGCTCCTACTTGTACAGGTCGTCTCATATCAGCCATGCAACTCCACCCCATTCTTCATTCTCCCACCTCCTAGCTTCTGCCCAATCCAACAGGTAACTGCCCATTTGAGCAAGTTTCTTGATTTCCTGTGTAGCAGTCTAAAGTAATGAACTTTGATATGCATCTTTGCGATCTGGCTTCAAAATCGGTTCCTTTTGGCAATTTTGCGTCTTGGGTTCTTGCCTGTTTCATGTTCTGCTTTGAATCGTTGAGAAAGGGTCAGTTGCCAGTTGGGTTCACTTGTTGAGGTTTCTGGTAACTGAGTAGCAATTGCTTATTTATCTTTTGAACCAGTTCTGCTTTGATTGGGACTAAGTTGTGAATAAGAGGTCTTTATCCTTCCTACTTTGCTATATTAAGTGGCTTCTTGAGGTGTGTATAGCTTAAACATGATAAAGAAGTTCTCTGTCTTTGGAATCACTTTCGAAAGGTTGTTTATTGATTTTGTAATGACTGTCTAGTGTGTTTCAGGAAGGAAGATGGCTAGATGCCAAGATGGAACAATCACAAGCAGCAAACTGGTTGAAGTTTCTCCCATTGTGGTAATACATGCATTCTTGTTAATTTTCCTTCTTAAGTTAAAACCATTCATGATTTGGATCTGTTGGTTGTTAAATTCTTCTGGAGCATAAGCAGTTGAATTCATTTCTGCGGCGACCAATCTAGAGTGGTTCTGCTTTAAGTTCTGGTGCATTGTTACTTTACTGTGAGCAACAAGAAGAAAGGCCTTGACCTTGCTTATTGTTATTGATGTCTTGTTTATCTTAGACATGAGATAGTGCCCTTTTCTTTCTCTTTTCAGTTGGGGTGACAGTCTGATGAAAAAGCTTGTGACTCATTATGAACTCACAGGACCGATTTCGCCCAATCTCCTCGAATTCACGAGTTCAATCATCCTGCCCATTCTGTACAGGCAAGAATGATAGTTGCCAGATAGTCCGGTCAAGAACAAAGTTAATGAATATTATGATCAAAAGAAGGAAGCCCAAAGAAGCGGAATCTATATTCGATGGTCTAATGGAAGATGGCCACAAGCCAAACCTTCTAACCTACACCACTCTAGTTGCTGCATTGACTCGTCAAAGGCGTTTCAAGTCCATCCTGTCTTTGATCTCCAAAGTTGAAGAAAATGGGATGAAACCTGATTCCATACTCTTCAATTCGATCATCAATGCATTTTCTGAATCTGGAAATGTAAAGGATGCAATGGGAATTTTCCAGAAGATGAAGAGCAGTGGATGTAAGCCTACCACCAGCACTGTCAATACTCTCATCAAAGCATATGGGAATGCTGGGCAACCCGAACAAGCTTCGGAATTGTTGGAGTCATTGTTGAAGGAAGAAGACGTGAAGCCAAATGAGAGGACATACAATATCCTAGTAAGAGCTTGGTGTAACAAGAGAAACATTGATGAAGCTTGGAACGTGGTAGACAAGATGGTGGCATTCGGATTGAAGCCAGACGCTGTCACATTTAACATACTAGCTAGGGCTTATGCTGAGATAAGCATGACGAGCAGAGCGGAAGACTTATTGTCTGAGATGCAGAGAAATGGATTGGCGCCAAATGAGCGTACTTGTGGCATCATTGTGAATGGATACTGCAACGAAGGAAATATGGTGGAAGCCTCAAGGTTTGTGTACAGAATGGAGAAGCTTGGAGTGCATCCCAATCTCATCGTTTTCAATTGTCTCATTAAAGGCTTTGTAGATAACCTGGACAAGGATGGAGTTGAGGAGGTCAGTTTCTATACCGAGAAATGTTATAATTGCTATAGCATTGTGTAAAAGAGCTCCAACCAGCTTCATTTCTTTGTTGGGTTAATGTCACTGAACTTAGGGTCACTGATATATCACTCTGACATTTTGTTAGTATTGAACTTGTCATTGAAGTAAGTGTGAATTCGTGAATAACTGGAAAAACACAACATAGGGGTAAGGAGAGAGATAATTAAGTTGATTTGAGGTAATCGGTTTTGGAACTGGATTGAATATGAATTGAAATGTATTATCATGTTAGCTAATGAGAGTTTCTGTAGACATTTTTTTGTAATTACTTATATGATTTGGCTTGCTTATCCGGAATTTTTTGTTAAAAACTTTTCATGGAAATGGATGAAGTGACTACTATAGTTATTTTAATTTTCAACGACAAAAATTACTATGTTACAGGCACTTGATGCTATGGAGGACTACGGAATCAAGCCTGACGTGGTGACATTTAGCACGATAATGGATGCATGGGGATCTGCAGGTATCATGGACCAGTGCCTAGAGATCTTCAATGATATGTTGAAAGCTGGTATAGAACCAGACATCCATGCATTCAGCATCCTCGCGAAAGGTTACGTGCGAGCTGGGGATCCAGAGAAGGCTCAGTCGGTTCTGGCATCCATGGGACACTACAGCGTGCGCCCGAACGTAGTAATATGCACAACCATCATTAGCGGCTGGTGCAGTGCTGGAGAAATGGACGCTGCAATGGAAGTCTACGAGAGGATGTGCGAGATAGGGATTTCGCCGAATTTGAAAACGTTCGAGACTCTGATATGGGGATATGGAGAAGCCAGACAGCCGTGGAAAGCACAGGAGTTGCTGCAAGTCATGGAGGAGAAAGGCGTATCTCCGGGGAAGAGCACTATGCAACTCGTTTCAGATGCCTGGCTAGCCGTTGGTTTAACAAGTGAAGGCAAGAGAATAGTGGCTGAAGGAGAAGGAGATGAAGCTGCAAATTCTAAGGTTGCTGTAGATACAAGAGAGGAGGAGATGCCGAAAGACCCAGATCTCTCGGCCTCTTATTCCAAGGTGTTGGAGGTGCCTGGAGATGTTCTGAAAGGTCCAAATGGATCATCATCTCCTGTTGTCAAGATGAGAAGCCAGATGATTCTGAAGGACCCCAGGTCTTCATCAGAGGCCTTATCGCCTAGTTTGAAATCGATGTTCTTTTTTCGCGCATCAGGTTTTGGAAGACAGCCGCGAGTTATTTGTAGAAGGCAGGAGCAAAGCCTTTCTTGCATTCGTGGGAAGTTCACGAGATCGTGTGGCATCTTGTCCATTGCATGAAGGCTGAACTCATGTTAGCTGCTTGTGCTGGCAAGGTGTAGAAGAACAGTGCCGGTTGAAATGAACTTTCAGAAGTGCTTCCTGAAGTTGTAGATATACATTTGTTCTTGTACTGAACCACAGTGCTTAGCTTCCTATGCCATTGACTACAAATGTAGTGTTTTTATAGGTAACAATGCATTCGAATATTTCCTCCAATGGCCTTGAGGCTATATCTGGATGGGTAGACATGTTCATAAAAACTATAATGTACTTTTCATGTACTGATATAAATTCGTGTACTGATATGACCAAAAGTCACGTTCATGTATCGGAATGACCAAATCATGAAAATTCAAAGGTAAAATTGATCGATCAAAGAGTTCTTCCACCGCTTCGCTCCTTTCTCCTTCACCTCCTTCGAGAGGCAAAAGCCATCCATAAATTTGATTGGCGGCCGATACTATAACCTGTTCTCCGGTGCTACAGCAAACAACTGAGCCCAGGAGGAGCCGCCACCAGTCGGCGGGATCTCCAATGACAAGGCAGTCATCGCAACCCTAACCGAAACTAGAGAGAAAATAGAATACTATTGTTTATTTTTATTGAACTAAATTCTCATTATTTGGTTTGCAGGTAAATATTGTCCTTTTTACATCCAAAGCCTCACGTTGGCCATATCTTTTATTATTCAAATCACTTTTTTAGAAAGGTTAATACCTTATTTTGGTTCGAATTACACTCATTTAATAAACTTTGGCCAGTGATTTCAAAAATTCTCACTTTGATCTCAACTATAAATCATATAAACTCAACTGGTTCACACAATCTGAACCACAAACCGTGTATATGATCTAATCTGGACCACACGGCACCGTTTCCTCTATAATATTCATTGTCAACCAATTGGGCCATTATAAGCTATGAATGGGCCAACGAGGAAATATTGGGCCCATTGCAAAAGCCCAAAGAACCAAACTAGGAGTATGACTCCAGTCTCCAGGCAATTCGAGACCGGGAATCGCCACCGTCTCCTCCATCTCCCCGGACTCTGGAGCTCCGAACCTAATCCAGATTTCCAGCTCCACTGAGAGCTCCTTAAATCCTTCTGCTTTTTCAATCATGATATCTCCCCAAATCGTTAATTTCCAGTCCATTCAAAACCCCAGTCTCCCTTCGCTTCCCTTGTTTACAGCGGCCCACCGCCGTCTCTCTATCCCGAATTTCACCCCGACCCACGTCAAATTTCCCGTTGAAGATCGCGACTTTCGCCGGAGGTTAGTACCTTCGGCTCGGTTGCGGAGGCCTACGACCTGTTATGGGGTGAAGGGTTCGAAAAATGCTTCGGCGGTGGACTCTAGTAGTAGTGGCGGCGGCGGAGACGGCGGTGGCGGCGGAGGTGGTGGGGACGACGACGGGAGTGAGGGGAAAAGCAGTGGGCTTTTGCCGGAGTGGTTGAATTTCTCTCTGGACGATGCCAAGACGGTGGCCGCGGCGGTGGCCATCTCGCTTGCGTTTCGGACTTTCGTGGCCGAGCCCAGGTTCATTCCTTCGCTGTCGATGTACCCAACTTTTGATGTCGGCGACAGAATTGTTGCAGAGAAGGTAAAAGAAAACGCTCCCCTTTTCATTCCCATTAAGCTAGAGTTAGTCCCATTGCTCTAGTCAAGGATTTTGGAGGGAAGGGGTGGAGTTTTGTTCCTGGATTCTAGTTTGAGATACTTACTGGGAATTCGAATTGGACAATTGGGAATCTAGCTTGGCAGAGCTATCCCTCCAATCCAGCTTGATTATGGATTTGAGAATCCACTCGGATTTAATCAAGCAAGGACCAATTTGATGATGGGGGGTTTGTCTTGCTTCAGTGCACTTAGGTTCATGGAAATGTTGATCAGATTATGTATTCTCAGTCTAGGTTTCTTGAATGTATAAGCTTGTATGGGGAAATTGAGAATGAGAATTCAAATGCAACTTTTCAGGTCACATACCGCTTCAGAGAACCTTGTACAAATGATATAGTTATATTCAAGGCTCCTCCCGTCCTCCAAAAAGCTGGATACACGGACGAAGATGTGTTCATCAAACGAATCATTGCCAAGGAAGGCGACATTGTCGAGGTCAGATCCCTAACCTAAACAAGGGCGAGCTTTTCTTCTTCCTCTCGATGTTACTGCTGTCGTAATGACTTGGTTGATATGCTTAATCTGTCAGGTCCGTGATGGGAAGGTTATAGTGAATGGAGTCGAGAGAGATGAAAAGTTCATCTATGAGAAGCCTTCTTATAACATGAAACCAATTGTAAGCATATTCACTCTATTCTCTTTGTTCTGTAGCATGATGAAACTTCCAAGGTTCTCAATCACACACACAATTCACTGTTCTTCTGTGTTTATGCTTGCTGCAGAAGGTACCCGAGAATTATGTATTCGTGATGGGGGACAACCGGAATAACAGTTACGATTCACATGTCTGGTAAATGTTTCCCAATCTTTTGACCTATCCTCTGAAGATAAAAGATTCCAAAAGATCATCTATACTTGTTGCTTTCACTTCTACTGATACATCGAAATGCTCTTCATATAGGGGTCCTCTTCCGGCAGAGAACATACTGGGAAGATCAGTGGTCCGGTATTGGCCTCCTTACAGGATCGGCAGTACAGCTTCTGAGACAAATTGCTCTGCTGATAAGCTGGAGAGCATCAGCGTCCGAGCCCCTGCAATCAAGTCCGACTGACTGGCAGGCCTGCATCTTCACCGTTTTCCCCCTTCCCATGTTGTGTATCATGTCATTTTTTGGTAGGATTGTAACCATAGATCAAACAACCAGCCTGGTTATAACGATTCTTAGCGACAAATCGATGGATGCTTATATTTTGCACAACTCACATTGCAAAACTTTTGACGGTTGTAGATCTTTTATTGCTCATGTCATCACTTGGCAGCACAATTCTTTGCTCAAAATACAGAAGTGCTCGAGATCATACGAGCTTGTACGTACAAGAATGCTTCTTAAGCCGAATGGGGTTGCTTGTTCGAGAATCAAACATCAGGGCACAAGAGATCCTCTGTGTATGCCTAGACTTCACCAGCTTCCCCACAACGTAGCCTCTCGACCTCACCTCAAACACCAACCTCACCGGAACTTGCACTTCCTCCTCCGCCGATCTTGTCAGGCTCGCCCCTGCACCGTAGAGAGGCACCCTCATCCCCTTGACATTGACCGAGACTGCCTTGTGGCTCTTCCTCGGCTGGTAATACGACCTCAGCTGCAAAAACATTTCACAACAATACAATACAACATCACCGCCCGAACCAAAACCATAATCACGAGCTTCGTGCAGTCGATCGATCGCCACATCTAGCTTACCTGGCCTGTCGCGACAACGAGCTGGGAGAACATGATATGAACCGGAGTCGAGCTCACGCTGATTCCGAAGAACGAAGCCGGGTTATAAACCTTGATCCCCACGGAACAGTTGGTGGTGAGCATTTTCGTCGGGACCCCTGTCAGGTCCGATCCTTGCCCGAAGTAGAAATTGTGAACCGTCAAGCTCTGCCCCCAATCATCATCAAAATCCATAGATATCATCAATCAACTGGGGGCTAATTCGCAAATCGCAAGATTGAAACATTTTTCAGGAACCCAAATCTGTAAATCTCTCTCTTTCTCTCTTTACCTTGACAGTGATTTGGGGGCTGAAAGGACGGCTGGCGCCCCAGAGAAGGAAACAGAACGCCGTGAAAATCGCGGCCAAACCCATGACCGCCAGCAGGACCCGGCACCTGGCCGGGTCGCCGTAGCCATCATAATCGCCTCCTCCTTCCTCGAGGATGACGTGGCAGTTCCCGGCGGAACTGGGCCACCGTCTGATTTTCCCGGTGGGTTTCCGGGTGGCGGAGGCGGAGGAGGGGTAGGATCCGCCGGAGACGCGGCTCGATGAGGATGCGCGTGAGTGGCGGCCCGGGTGGTAGTAAGGGTGGGAAGGGGAGTCGATCGGAGTGGTGTTCGGCAGCGAGGAGGAAGAGGCGGTGGCGGATTTGTCGCCGTCGTCGTGGGAGTCTCGCGATGGGCTCTGCACGTAGTACACCGGCCGCTTTGGGGATCGCGGCGACGACGGCTCGAGGCTGGTCAGGTCGGAATCCGACGATTTCGCGTATTTGGCGTACATTTCTTTTTGTTGTTCGTTGGGTTTGAGTGAGTGGAGTGGTGAAGAAGAAGAAGCTGTGAGAGTGTGGAGTAATGGAGGTTCTTCTCTTTTTTTGTTTGGCAGTGAAATTGTGAAACGGAATTGGGTCGGAAAGCATGTGATTGCGGAGGAAGAGGGAGAGAATGAAACGGTGGGGTGGACACTTGTAAAGGAGAAAACAGAGCTTTTTTTTGGGTTGAGTTGGTCAGTTCATGAACTAATTTTTTTTTTTTTTATTACCTAAGTTTGAGTGTTTACTGTTTAATGTTTTTAAGGATCTCATTAAATGTTCAATTTTTATGGTGAAACTGTATATGGAAAGACTAAACTTGGGAAACTACTGGTTCGATGCATAATAGCAAAATAGTGCCAAGATTGTATATGGGGAAAAAAAATTATCATACGGCGAACAAGGGATCGGTCAAGTTAAAAATAAATTTTACATGATTTTAGCATATAACAATATGGTTAAAATTTTGAAATTGGTTATAAAACTATGTTAATATAAATTAAAACTTATTAACTTATTAATTTGATTCATTGAAATGGGTTAATTAAACATGTTTTAATTATCGAAGCATAAACAAAACCAAAAAAATTAGACAACTATGCGATAGCATGAAAAGAGTGTTTTTTTTTATATTTAGTATGCACACGAGTATTAAATGAATATAGAGCACTTCTACTATGCTATATAGCATTGGTGCTTTAATGTACAACTCAAAGTTGTACCATAACATTAAATGTATAAGTTTAGGTTGTACCATAAAGCAATTTGTACCATTATGTTATTGTACAACTTTACAACTTGAAGTTGTACCATCACATAAAGGTACAAGTTCGAGTTGTATCATAAAAGAATTTGCACAAAAAGTATATGTACAATCTAAAGTTGTACCATAAAGACAAAAACTTATAACACCAATACTATATAGTATTGTAAAATTTCTCATGAATATATTATGATAATTACTCCCGTAGAAATGAAAGGGAACTCTTGAAATTGACTATATAGTTCCTTCTTTCCCTTGCATTCCATAATATATGAAAATATTATTGCTGTCTCATCGTATAAAAGAGCATCACCAAAGACAATATCCAACAAATTATTTTCAAAAATACAAATACTATATCAAAATATGCCACATTGGTAAATTAGCATACCACAATAGTAAGAATTTTCATACCTTGTTATGACTGTGCTAAGATCCAACCTAACAATTTATTTTGTCATAACACCATCATATAATTTTCATCTAACCGTTATGGTAATTCTCTGTTCCAAGACTTATTATCATTATATCAAGATCTTACTATTATGCTAAAACTCTCTTCAGTGTCATAGCAGGCAAGCTCATATTGTGAACTATTGTATATTAAAACTGTGTATATCATATTATCATATCATAATCTTATCATTGTGCAAATACTATGTTATTTGTTATATCAACACCTTATCGTTACCACCGTGGACATACTCTTCCCTGTCATATTATCATGTTATACAAAAACTTATAGCACATGAAATGCAAATAATTACATAAAAAGTTCGTTGAATAGGGATGCTCGTTATTCATATTATACATTATTTCAAAACTAATAAAATCACCAAACCTTCACGTTTTCTAACCTTAAGCACATAAAATTACTATACCCACATTCGATTGTTCTAGGAAATATATAATATCAAATAAAAGCACCGCCACTAGCATTTCTACCTTGACCCCTAAAAATGCAGCCATTCATTGTCTCAATCTTACCTTTGTTCTTGAAACCTAAAAATGCAGGCATTCGTGGCGTCAATCTTCCCTTTGTTCTTAGAATTATGTCGGCGAGGAATATGTTTCTCAAGCACTAAAGGAGTTCAAATAGTGATTGATACTTGAAGTGTTTTCATGGAACAATGAAAGCCCTTAGATTATGATCAGTCTCTTTGTTTTGAGTGTTGTTTATGACTGATCTTTATGAAGTTGGGAATATTTGGACACGATTTGGTATCTCATTGAATGGACTGGCTTCATGAACCAAATTAATGTAACTATTACAATAATAACCACTAAATTTTGTTACAGCAATCCCAGATACATTAACACAAACAATGAAAAATTTGTATAAAATTTCATTTAGCCAAACATTGTACAGTGTAGCAATACGAAAAAAATCATGATACAATGGAATATGGTCATATGGATGAAGAATTGCTATAAGTCAAGAGCAGCCAAAACTGATGGAATCGGATCAACCCTCCAACTATCTCAAACATTAGATTGGAACAAGTCAAGAACAGCCAAAACTGAGATTGGAGGTCTGTTCCTCTTCCAGAGGCCAAAAGAACCATACAGCCCATCACCATACTTATATCTTCACACTTCGAATTGTACCTGAAACCAAAAGAACTACGTCCAGCCAAACCATTCTCGAAGAACCAGTACATTGATACAATGTTCGCCATTAGTTCAAAAATGGAGTCCATATAAAATATGGCCTCATAGGGAATCCGATTTCGGTTGTCGACATGAAGTTTAGATTCAGTCATATGCTTGTCAAAAGAGAAATCATCGGCCATCTTTCTTGACATAAACACCACAACAAGAGATCTCAAATACTTAACATTGAGAAAGAACACGATTTCAGGGTCATCAGATAGGAGCGAAAGACTAAAAAGGATTTATCTAATCACAGTGATTACTCAGCTGAACTATGCATTATAAATCATCACCTGACCCCATTAATCAAATCCATGAAAAAACAGTAAATCTTGTTTAAAAACAAACAGAGGAAACATAAGCCTCAGAAGGAAGGCAGTAGTGGTTTGTTATGTAATCAAGCAATTCGTCATACTGACACAATATCACCAGTTCTCATCACAGGCAAAAACAAAAGCATTGAAAACCCAGATGGAAAGAACAGATCTTGAAATCGAATTGAAATGGCCTCATAGAGAAGATTAGGCGTATCAACATGGTTGAAATTCAGACATATGCTTGTCAATTTTCGATATTAAATCATCGGCCATACAACATCGAAATCGAAAGGGGAAAAAAGAACGAAACTTGGAACTGGGTTTTTTGTTAGAAGAAGAAAGTAATTGAAGGGGGACTCAGAATATGGGTGGTGATATATCAGAATGGTCGTCAAGGCCTTTTACAGCCATTACGACGAACGAGACCTTTCATGATAGTAATCGTCACCGTCCCGCTACCACTCGAGAAACCGAAGAAGGAGGAGTAAAGGAAAGGCGAAAGAATCAAATGAAAACCCTAAACCTGGAGGTAGATCTGGACGAGATATGAGAGGAAACGCAGGTACTGCTACTTATAAGAGAGAGAGAGAGAGAGATGGCGGAAAGGGGAAGCGGCTAGGGTTTTGATGAGATGATTGCAAGGGTTTCGGATCTGGTAGTTGTTTCTTTAGCGGGGTGTAGAGAGCGCGCGTAAAGATGGCTTTTTTCCAATATGGGCTTTGATGTTCGACGATTGGCTGGGAAGCCCAGGCCCAATATTGAACGATTCATAAGCTATAGGCCCATTCCTGGCGGCAATTTACCACCAGCCGGCTGGAGTTACCAAAGCCTTAGGGCGCACACGAGAGTTTTTGTTGGTTCTCCGTAACCTCGATTAGTTTTGAATGAAAGGTTAGAATGCATTTTTCACATCGAAAAATGAATTAAACAGAGCTGATACCTACGAGCCACAAAAATGACACGTTGTCTTATCTATACGACAAACATTTTTCACAGAGCTAAATGTCAGAAAGAGATGCTACCAAGTACAGGGACGAAGCTACATAGTGTGTAGGGGGGAGGCCATACGAATGTTCGAAAGTTCTGGAAATTTACGTATCAACTGAAGTAATTTTTAATATAAACAGTTTAAATGTATGGTTTCCTCGCGGGGCATTCTTCCTCGGTATGTCTAGTTAGCCACACTCATAGCCAGATGGTCGGCATGTTCTTGTACAAAACTTTCGGTCATGAACTTTAGCGAAGTTCACGTCTGATGCTAACACTCATGTCTCCACCAGGGTGATGGGAACTTTTGGGTAAGGCTCTAATGGAGGTTACCATTTTACTGAGTGTAGATTATACTAGTCAGCTCTTCTAGACTGAGTTTGCTCATACATTTGATTTCACTTCTGCAGATACTTGGCCCCAGAGTATGCTGCAAGTGGAAAGCTCTCCGACAAATCCGATGTGTTTTCCTTCGGAGTAATGCTTCTAGAGCTGATTACAGGGCGCCGCCCTGTTGACACGACTCACACTTACATGGACGACAGTCTGGTGGACTGGGTAAGTTTGCTTGCTTGACCATGAAGTTTTGATCTGCAATGCAGAGTTTCAAGTTAGTTCAACAAAGCTAATCAACTTCATTGTTTCTAATTGCTCTCTAGGCTCGGCCCTTACTTTCACGGGCTCTGGAGGATGGAAACTACGACTCCTTGGTCGACCAAAAACTCGTAGACTACGACCACAACGAGATGTCTCGCATGGTCGCCTGTGCTGCCGCCTGTGTTCGCCACTCTGCTAGGCGTCGCCCACGCATGAGCCAGGTAAAATCATCAGGGCTCTTTATTTTCCCACGACGCACTTCCAAAGGCTGGAACTTTTGCTTCTGTAACTTGACATCAAAACCGTGCTCAACATCATCCACACAGGTAGTGCGAGCTCTAGAAGGAGATGTATCGCTAGCAGACCTCAACGAAGGGATTAAACCAGGGCACAGCCGAATGTATTCATACGAAAGCTCGGATTATGACACAAGCCAGTACAATGAGGACATGAAGAAGTTCAGGAAGATGGCACTCGGCAGCAAAGAGTACGGTGCGAGCGACGAGTACAGCGGCCCTCCCACGAGCGATTACGGGCTCTACCCTTCCGGATCGAGCAGCGAAGGGCAGACGACAAGGGAAATGGAGATGGGGAAGGTGAAGAGAAACAGCCAAGGTTTCAGTGGAAGCTCTTGAGTTGAGCCTTCTCACCATCTCTCTATGTAAAGCCAATCCCTTCTTTCCCCTCCACTACTCTATTTTCTCGAATGGAATTTTTATTTTCGGTTTTGAATTGGATCATTGGATGTCACATTGATTTCCCAGAACGATATGTGTGTTCTTGGTGTGATCAACCAACACATGAGCAAAAAGTTTTTTCTTCTTCTACTTCTTCCCTTGCTGATCAGTTTTTTTTCTTTTCCTTTCTCTTTGATTTTCTACCAATGTATTTATTAGTAGCGAGTAAATACTGGAAAGACAGGCTAAATTGACAGTATAGTAGAAGCTTTATTTTGATTCTTTGATTCATTTGCTGCTTATTTGAATGGAATGTGAATACATGCTGCAATGTGTATTCGTTTTGTGTCCTTGAAGATGCTTCTGTAGTTTCGATTCAGCGACTAAGCCGGTAATGATTCGTGCACAGTACGACGATAACAAGTTTATCACTGTACTTTGAACCGTTAGTCTTACCGAGTAGATCTGTTGTAAGTTTTCGTACTATACCCCGTTTTGGTGTAAGGAGCACATTCTATTGATGTGTGTGAGCAGGACATGGCAACCATTGAGAATGAATGCAGTGCAAGGGATGAAACAAAAAGCTAAATTTGTTTGTTGAGATTTGGGGTTATGATGAAGGTTTTAGACCAAAGTTTGTTGGTTAAGTCTTGAAAAAGGCTTCAAAGTCAGAGAGGAAGGTGGTGTGGAGTTGGTTTGAAGCTTTGGGAGATGAAGGAAGATAAGTAATGGACAGCTCATCTTTTTTGTTGGGCCTGACTTTGTCATTCCAAATGTTGGATGACAGCTGGTGGGCCGGCCATGGACCTTTCTTCCTTTTCAGTTTCCATTTACTGTTAACGGTTAATATCCATATGGGACACTTAGCGTAAATGGAAACTTTTATCTAACTGTCAAAATAATATCAAAATTTCATAATAACGGAAAATTTTGGCTCAATGCTTTGTAATCAATTCCATGGATGAAGAACATTTCTCATTTACTCTCCAGAAAGCTCAGTCTTACACAGAGCATTGTATGTAGTCAAGCCAAAGAGAAATGTACAGTGAAGTCTATATAGAATGATGATAGAGAAGCCTACCTTCCTTTCCTCTCTTCTACAACACCAAAAATGCTTCATCATTCATTTTCCTGTGTTACACAATCAGTAGTAATGGAGAAACAGGTAGACCGAACCCGAGAACGAAGAAGAAAAAAGAAAATGGGTTGTGTGCTCTACAGATTTCCTAAACGACCAGACCCAGATCCTCTCTTCCTCCTCCTCCGCCTCTGCCGAATCCTCCATATGCTCAAAAACAACAACACACCTGCCACACCGGCACAAACAAGAAGGTTTGAGTAAACCAATGCTCAGTCAACTAACGACTATCCCAAGTATGCGAAAGATTCTACTGAATACTTCACAAACCTGTAATGGCTATTGCTGCAGGGACAAGCCAATGGCTCCCTACCAGAACGGGCATATCAAGCTGCGTATGGAACCAATCAACAGATTGTTAAGTTGCCATGATTTGAGGACAACGATGATGAAAAAAGCCACCAGATTCCACGTTCTTACCTCATCGCCATTGAGAATGCCTAGGAGATGATTCCCTTGTGTATCTCCCTTGTTTCTTCTTTCTGTAACTTTTGAATGCTCGACCTTGAAAGGGTTGGGCGTAGTAGAATTCAGACCTCTCCCCAGATCTATGATAGGGTAGCCTGGAAGTCTCCGGTTTCTTCCTCTGACGTGCAGGTTGTAACCTTTGGTACCCCACACTTCGAATCTGGAGTCCCTCCTGCATATCAGATCCTGGCCCAGCACTGCAGAGTAGGAAGAGAAGTTTACATCTGTTCTACGCGAAGGTAGCTGGTTGTCATCCACGTAGATGGCCATGTCTTGTTTTGCAGATTGGGAGAAGAGCAACGGATCTCGAGCACTAGAGCTGGTGAAATCTAGTAGTTTTTTGAGAAGCCAGTAACAGTTGGTGACCATGTGGCTACTGTCCAAACAGTTGGAGTCTCCGTAGACTGCAATTCGCCCTTCGCCTGCCTCCACAAGGCCTAGAATTGGAGAATCCGCCTGCACAATATATTACAGCATAATAAACCCATCAAAATTCCAAACACAATTCCACATTGCAAAGATCCTTTCTTTTCCAGTAGAATTGTGGACTATTTCATTAAAAATTATTTGCTGATTGCGACAAATATGTATGCAAATTGCTCCAATCGAGGCAGCAGATTAAATTGAGACTTAGGCTGTCTGTTTCAGCTTAAAGGTATACACCCTTTAATTTCAGCAAATACCGAAGTGGTAAGAAGACAATGTTTATGGAATTCAGATTCTTTTTACCTTCCCTGATCCTGAATTCGACAGCACATTCTGAGTTGCACCACTCTCTGAGCTATCCAGTAAAGGGAAACCATGCACGTAACCACCTGATGGAAACCTCACAATATCAGTTCCTGATGCATACCGACTTTGCTCTCCATCAATGGAGAAATCTCCGTTCAAAATCTTATCCCCAAAAGCAATCCCAAACGGAGCCAAGAGATCATTCAATCCAGGAACATTCGCTCCTCCCGTAACAGGTGTCCACCAGCTTCGTGTGTTATCGTCAAAGAATCTCATCTTCACCATCGTATCCACATTATACCATTCAGCAAACACAGCTAATCCTAAACCACTGTTAATAACATCGTCCCTCAACTTCTCAATCTCCTCTGCAAAGTACTCATCTTCGAGATCCACAAGTAGAAGTGTTCCATAATGGCGAGCATCAAAGCATGTGAAAGGAGAACCAAGCGTCTCAACATAGTATCCAGCATCTCTTAACATGTTAAACATGATGTGAAAATTTGTGTGTAGATGATCTCCATGCCAATCAAGAATGTCATTCCGAACATCTAAAGAGTCTCTCGGAATATATCCTGGAGGGTATTTGATGTTGTGAAATTGGTCCCACAAAATCCGCTTCGACCTAGGTGGAGTGGGGACCACCTGCAGTTTCAGGTGAAGCACACACGTGCTTCTTCTTTTCGTCTTCTCACCAGGAGATGGAGGACTGTAGATAGTGAGAGTTACATTACCCTCGATTTCACCAGAAAATTGGGCACCTTCTTCTTTGATTTGCATGTGAAGTGCTATGTAGCCTGTCCATGGCCAGATGATTTCTGAATAGGTGAAGTGAATGTTTAACAGATTTCCATCTTCATCTGAGGGATTCCATATGGGGGGACTTTCAACATAACCAATAACGCCCATGCCATTTAGAATCGTGGCATTGAACATAATTGGCATTGCCCCGGCGTATAAGGGTTGGCGGCAGAATGGCCAAGAGTAAGGGCAATCTGAAAAATCAAGAATACCAGGGAAGATGGTCGCCCGAGGTTGATAAATCTTCAAGATTTCATAGGACTCCAACCTGAGAAAGAAGGGAAAGTTAAGACAATATAGTTGCTCGTGTAGTAAAGCAGGAAAGTGAAATACCATGAAAAAGAGAACCTACAGATTTACTCTTCCTGCACCCTGCTCATACAGATTGGGACCAGAAAGCTTGGCAGCTCCTTCAACCAGTGCTTGTTTCATGCTTGCAGGATTTAGAATGGCCTTACGGTCACTCTCAGGAATCACACTAACAAGTAGGCAGACTACACCAGCAACCACAGGGCTTGCCACACTAGTCCCTGATAAGCTTTTACACCCTGAACTTATCTTTGATCCCATGATATCTTTCCCATATGCAACGACATCTGGCTTCACACGGCCATATCTATCAACCAAAATTAGAAAAAAGTCAAGGTCTACTACAAACAAATAAAAATAACAACGGGCTACATACTAATAAAATGATCTCCACACGATCGCAACTGCTGCTCATACTTGGCAAGAAGAAATGAACATGTAAATAGGTCAGGACTCCTGCTACCTTTCACGTCCTAATTGATAAAGTTTCAAGGCAGTGCAGAAAAGTATATTAAACATAAAGCGATCAAGGTCAAAAGATATCTTCCCTCTACTCTATTTGCATCAAAATACCATATCAGAAAAAGGTCCGATCTTGCAATGCAACTATGGGCAAACTCGTGAATATTTGGGAAATATGGTGAGTCTACAAATGAATGCAGAACACAAATACTTGAATCATCTGAAACATGAAGCAGTCAAATGAAAAGCGTAGCATTCAAGTCTTCTCCCAACAAGAAATTTGGTCAACCATAAGCTATAACACAAAGCCGTTAGAAGAGTAAATAGATTACCCATGAGGAATCTCCCAAGTGCTCATGCCACGTGATGAAAATGGGGCAATATGATCATTGTAATCTATTCCACCAACGCCAATTACATCACTTTGGTCTGCTGGATTGTTTAAAGTGCCATAAAGAGGCCCATCATTTCCAATAGCGGAGACCATAATTATGTTATTGGCTGTTATCTCCCATATCTGATGGTCAAGATGCAAAGGAACACTGGGATCAAGAAAAATAGCCAATAAAACTAATGCTAAAGACTTTCGTAGGAAAATAAAAAGAGTGAAACACCAATGCTAGCCATACTAGAATGAATAATTGAAAATAGAATTGCAAGACACTACACAAAATGATACCCTAAACCAATGTCCAATTGACCCACACAAATACTTGAGATACCACGTCTGAATATCAAATGATAAAAACATGATGATTGATAGGGAGTTTGTTGTCCAATAAAATTTAGAGTGTGTGCACGGCAGTTGCTCTCTCCTGCCTATGCCTATACAAGAGTTAACAAACTCCCAAAACAACTCTTACCTTTTCAACGAATGGGAGGTCCAGGAAATCAGGGCCACCGATGCTCAAGTTCAGTACATCCATTTTTGTTGCAATAGCATAGTTAAATGCGTCAAGGAACCATGATGTGTAAGATACCTGCAATAGGCTGAATACGAAATTCTCATAATCTTGGTAAGTCTAACGACTTAATCAAATTGCAAAAAGGAAAACGGTAAAAACAATTTGAATATTCACTAAAACATATACAACAGTCTACCAGATACTTCTCGCACCATGCTATCATCAATCTAACCCGTAGAAAATGATTCTACAGTCCAATGAAAATATGGGAGCCACTTTTGGACCCTAAAATGCAGTTGGCTTTTGTCTCCATGCACTCAGCTTGATAAATATTTCATACTCTAAGGAAAAGAAAAGGATAGGCTGCTATAATCTTCACCAAACCGGTAAATTTGAAAACAAAAAAGTACTTCTAGCTAATAATTACCTGAGCATCTGTGAATACCCGGAATGCATAAATCTCAGCATCAGGGGCAAAACCAAGACATTCTTCATCTTGGCCAGCGATAACACCCGCAACAAATGTCCCGTGTCCCAGGTTGTCATTTAAAGTATCCTCACTTGTCCAGTTAGTACGTTCCTGAGACAGTATACAAAAAATGCACATCATGGTTTCACCTTCTCCCCAAAACCAAATACTGAAGAATGTAACCTTTGAACTGGAGTAGAAGAGAAACAGAAACATAAATGAAAAATATATAGTTCCTCGCGATTCAATACCTTGATGTTACGGAAATGTGGGTGATCAAATCGAATTCCAGTGTCAAAAATAGCCATCTTCACCTTAGCACCGGTATACCCTTTAGACCAAAGAACGTCAGCTCCAAATAAAGAAGTCACCTGTGACTTCTGCTGCAGAAAAAGAAACTCACAATAAGAAGATTTGGAGAAGAATGGAAGTTTGGCAACGCTTTTTCCCTGCTCCTAGCAAGGGAAACCACTCATTTTGGACAGTTTGTAAAATGAACCAGCAAGCAAAGTTAAAGCAAGAAAATCACTCCGTAGCTAACAAGTGTACCATCAGATAACTACTGGCCCGGAGAATTCTACCAGGTATCTTATGAAATCAAGTTTGACTTTGAAATTTCAGAGTGCAGTTTGGAAATGACGGGCTGCTGGCATCGAATCGATATATTCACATCAAACTGCATCTAATCTCCATTCAATTGCAAGCAATACGACAAAGGGAATTGCGAATTCCGGAAGTTCAATCGAATCAGAATGCACCAAGAACAGCATTCATTGATTGATTCATTCAGGAATCTACGTTTATCAATTTGCCTATCCTATGATAAGAACACACCTGTGCTAGCAGCTCCCTTCCCCAATGAATAGAAGAATTACTGGTTTCGGCCACCGCATGATGCCGCTCCTCGTCTTCACTGAATGACATAGAAGTGAATATCTTCCCAGGCCGTTTCTTCCCATCGGAAAACGAACCACCGCCACCTCCACCGCCGCTGCCGGAAACGCCAAGCAATTCCCTCTTATAGCTGACATCCACATTCACATCCTTGACCATTTCCAACTTCCCAATCTCCCCCACCACTCTCTCCGCCACACTTCCCTCCACAGCCACCAGCCCAAAGTCCGTCGCGAACTTCATCGCCGGATTCCTCCTCTCGATCCATTCCCACCCTCCCCCCAATCCAAGCTCCGATTCCAAGTACCGCCGGTGGTCCTCCGCCTTCTTGTACTCCCTGAATCGCACTATGTAGTTGTTGTTGTTCCGCCCGGTCTCGTTCTTCCCGCCCTCGGAAACTAGGGTTAGGGTTTCCTTCCGGCGAAATGGAGCGAAATACCGGAAGAGGAAGATTGAAATGACGGCCGCGAAGACCGCGGATTTGAACGGAAACCTCGAGGAAGTTCTCCGACGAGCGGCCATGGCTACGGAGCCCGGTTCTTCGTTGCTGCTGCAGCTGTCGGAGCTCGTTTGGTTTGGCGGGAAACCCCACACATAGAGAAATGGAAATCGGGAAAGTATCTCTCTTTCTCGTTATGATGAGAGTTGATCTGTTTCCTTCTTCTTCTTCTTCTTCTTCTTCTCCAGTCTGAAAGCTTTTCTCTTTTCTTTCTCTGGGTGGAAAAAAATTCGATCTTTTCCACGTTCCGCTATTGAGAGGTACCTCCCCTAACTAATTTTAAATTCTCCATAGGTCCCACTTCTTTTGAAAATTACACTTCTTACCCGATAAAAGATTGAGATAGTCAAACACGCCCTCTTCCTCGTTCTTGTGAAACGTTGTCGTTTCCACCCTCGCCGCCGGTACAAAGGCCGCAGCCATAGGAAGGGGAGGAAGTGGATGATTGATGGCGGGAGCAGGATTGGGTTTCAGTTCGTCTCTCTCAGCTCAAAGCAGGGCGACGGCCGGAATTATGGTTAGGATTCCAGTTCCGTTATTGAAGCGACGGAAGTTGAAGTTCGCGGGATTGAATGAGGTTTTCCGCATTCGAGTGGCGGGTTGCGGCGTATCTTCGACTCGATTGTATAACTGCGGGAGTTGTGCGGCTGAGGAACGAGTCTCGGTGGACATGGAAAGGTACAAGGAGGCTTTTGGGAGGAGAATGGCCGTGGCTGGACTCAAACCTCACCATTCTATTGGTCAGTCTTCTGTTACCTATTATGCGAGCATAAGACCATGGTAGTTCTGTAGGTGAATTTGGTTAAACTGTGGAATTTTGTGGGAAGGGAAGGGGCGAAAGCAATTATCATTTTGGTTGTGGAGGTGGGTTTTCTCAGAATCGTGTGGTTTTGTTGATTGAAGCTTTCATCTTTTCTTCTTGGAACTTGTAGTTAGTAGTGGTGAAGTGGTGAAGTTGGCTGAGAGAGTTGTGTTATATTCCCGCAGCTGTAGGAGTCTCAGGCGGCCCTGACAGTATGGCGTTGTGTTTACTAACGGCTGCTTGGAAAACTGATGGTCCTTATGCTGCTAGCCAGAGTGATGGTTATGTTGATGGACTTTTGGCCATTATCGTTGATCATAGGCTACGCGCAGAGAGCAAAGAAGAGGCACACATTGTTTCTCGCCGTGTTTCTAAAATGGGTGCATTTCGGTTTCTTTTGCGCTTTGTTAGCATGTTTCAGCTTTTTTCTTCTACTATGGCTTAACTTGAACATTTTTGTAGGGATCAGATGTGAGATTGCAGAGTGTAATTGGTCGGATGGAAAGCCGAAACAGGGTCATTTGCAAGAAGCAGCACGAGATATGAGGTTCTGTTCTATATGTCTTTAACAGTCGAGCTGTGAATACTGAATACCACTTGTTTAGCTGGCCTAGGATTTGATCACATTGATTTGCTTTGTTTCCTATCCTAATCTGCATTCCAGGTATCAAATTTTTCAGAAAGTTTGCATTCAGCATCAAATTGATGTGCTACTTATTGCTCATCATGCAGACGACCAGGTTTGAATGACGATGTTCTTCATGTGGATCCCAGGTTTTTACCTTTTGCTGATTAGCATGTTGAAAATGAAGGTTTGCTTGGAAAACAAATTTGCAGGCTGAGCTACTGATTCTTCGACTTTCCCGCGGTAGTGGTGTGCTTGGACTTGCGGGCATGGCATTTGCTTCTCAGTTATTCTCTACAAGCACGGTTTTGCATAATGAAGGTTCGAACAATAAAGGCCTACTTCTAGTGCGTCCACTGTTGCACTTTTCTAAAGAAGATATGTACAAGGTTAGTGCATATCGAGATGCACTTTTACAGAAAGAGAGATTTTCATTTCTTGAAGACAATGATTTTTGCATATCAAAGCAATCAATTGATATTACATGTGGAAATGCCCTGTATCTGAAGTATATTCCTTTCTTCTCCAGATATGCCAAGCAAGTAATCAAGACTGGGTGGAGGACCCAACAAATCGAAGTCCAGCTTATGCTCGGAACAGGATCAGAATGTCACTGGGAAATTTGTCATCATGTGAGCCCTTTGGCGATTAATTTTATTGCACATAAGATATTTTTTAACTTAAAAAGAATTTAAGCTTTACGATTTAAATGCTATTGGTTGGAATTCTGATTTGTGTCGTCTAATGTTCCAGATACTTTCCAGTCTGAAATTCAAGAGCTAATATCTTCATGTCGAAAAACACGTGCATATGTTGACCACATGTCAAATGAATTGATTGATCAGGCTGTGAACATCATGGATGTAAGCATAGATTTTACTGTTGAATTATGAAAGTTTTATTTAGATACTATCCTTGTCATGTTACTGAAAGTTTATATCTTGCTTGTTATTCTTTTGAACGGCATCGGGGTCCTCGATGTTTTCCCAGCAGCAAGGTTATGCTGTTATTGATTTGATGGTTCTTAGTCCATCCAAAGTTCCAGATATGTGCCTTTCAAAGTTTATTGCGTTGGTCTTGCAGGTAATTGTCATTTATATTATCTTCTTGGATACGGTTTTACCTTTTGGTCTAGAATTGGCTAGTTATGTTCCTAACAGGCTAATAGTAATTTGTCATCTGAATGCCTCAGTTTGTCTCTCAAAAGCACAGAACTGTTAGAGGCGCCACTAGTAAACGGTTATTGGATTACGTTCGCACTTTCCCATGTAAGGCAAGTTTACTAGTCTTAAAATTTTGATGCAGTTATATTTTGGTTATTCTTGGTCAGAGACTCAGAGTTAAGCTTTTCCTCGTCTTTCTGATGCACTTTGAGTACCTTGCAGACGTCTTTTACTGTAGCTGGATGTTATCTCTGCCCTTCTCCTGGTTCTAGGGGGACGAAACTCTTAGTTTGCTGCTCTGTCAATTGCCATCTGCCTTCAACAATTGAAGTGAATAACTCAGACTTTGATAGAGAACAGAAGCAGTATCCTAGCATGTTGGATGAAATCATAGCCGAAGGGAAGTCTTATGTAGATCAGTTTGTACCAGATGTAGTAGATGTGAAGTTCTTGGACATGACATGCCAATCAGTGTTAGCAGAAGCGAAAAGAATCGGTATCATCAGCGAGTCAACTCATAACAACATAACCTTACTGGAGAGGAATGAAACAAAGTATTTCAAGCCTGAGAATAAGGTACACTTGGAGCAAGAGATCATAGAAAATCCCAGCACCTCAGCATCTGAAAGTGAGCTACTCCACCCAGGCAAAGCATGTTACTTCATGGACAGATTCATGGTTACTTGGAATGAAAGACCGCTCAGTTACTGCTCATCTTTGGTAATTGATCATCGAACAGCTGCTGAAGTACGCTATATGGCCGAGTCTGATTGGCTCTATCTGGCCAAATTGGCCAGGTGTAAAAATTTGCATGATTTGGTGCCACAAATAACTGATGCAGACAGTGAAGTAGAGCAGATAGCAAGAAAGAGAAAACAGAGTTTAGAATACATGCAGTTATCGGCAATAAAATCTCTTCAATCTTTGAAGTCCATCCCAGTTGCTGCCAGAAGAAGCCTGCCTGTATTAGTAAACCATGAAGGAATCCTACTGACTATACCTGTATGTTTTCATCTCTGAAATTCTGATACTCCATTTATAAGTTTTGCTGTCAAATTGTTCACGGTTATATATATCATTAAACCTTGTAATCCTTATCTCATTCGTGGTCTTTTTTCTCTCTCTTTTTGCAGAGCATTGGATTCCAGTGCTGCCCTTGTTTGATTGTGTCCTGCGCATTCAGGCCAAGATTGCCACTAGGGGGAGGTCACTCTTCGTTTCTGTAGTTTATGTGCATTAGCAAAGAGCATATGTATAATAGAGGCCTTCAATTTTGGTGTTTGTTGTTACTCATTTGTACATCTTTAGACTAGAAAGAATTAATAGAAAGGTGGAAGCACAAATCCAACCATGAACAAACTGTATTCCACATTATGCAGTAAGAAACATCAATAGTTTAATCTGTCAACTCACAGGATTCATTCAGATTCTTGCATTAAAGCTCGGGAATGAATTATTATGGTTGATACAAATTCATACAGCAGCAGCAGCTAATTCAATTCCCAAATCCAATCTTAAAAAAAACCTATCCTGCTAACTCTTCTCATGTTACAGTGAAGAGAGAGATTCAAAGAGGAAAATAGTAAAAAATGATAATAAGGGAGGAGAACATAGTCATCATTATCATAATCCACCTTGCCCTCCTCTCTCTTTCAAAATCTGGAACGATTTGAACCACTGTTTCCATGGAGCATCTTTTTGTTGGTCGACCCATGACAAGAAAGCACTGTCTATCAAGCAAAAGAAATTGACATAGAGAAGTTGGTACTGTACTGGTACATATCTGAAGTTAGCCACCTGAACCAGTGGCCAAATACCGCCTTCCAAGACTAACGACGGAAGGAAGTCCCTCTTCACGTCTTCTTTCACTTGAGCAGCACTCTTCCCTGTAGAAAATCCAATGTAGGTGAAGAACACTAGCAGATCCAAGGGCCCAAAGATTATGCCGTCAGCTGCCACTTTAGCCGCCACAAACCGAGCTGATTTTGGTGCTAGTTTAAGTCTCAACCTGATAAACTTGTCCAAGTACTCATACCTAAATAAGAAATAGGACTCGATTTAAGTTAAGAACTGATTGAAGAATATGACTTGCTAAAGCTAAATGATTGACAAAAAGACGAAGAGGCAAACCAGAAGTGGCCAACTGGACCAACAAATCCGAGGCCAAATGCACTGGTAGTAGCTACACGCTTCCAATTTATTCTGAATTCAGCCTCTTTATCCTGCCACATGAAATACAGTTACTCATCTTCCTGGAGTTTAGAAACTACCTTCAGTAATCATTGCAGATAACAGCTTCAGCTTAACAAAATGGCTACTGAATTCCCAGAGGACCACATGGTATTTAATGATTCTCAGCCACAACATGAAGATGCTATAACAGTAACACAGAGTAGGCAAAACTGTTGGTGATTCAAGTTCTTAAGGTGATGAAACTCTGGCAGCAATATGCAGTCTCGTGATTAGATTAAACCACGTACAAAAAGCTCCTCATGGTGTTAATGGAGCAGACACAACTGAGTTAGGTCAAAAGAAGGTACACATACAAATTGATTTTGTTCCTTTTCCCCACCTAAATAATGTCTCAAGTCACGTTTCGTCTCAGAACCAAAGCTGAAACTCTAAATTATTTACACATCATG